GGGCTTGGATATTTAAAAAAATATTTATTTTTTATTATTTATTTCTTTGGCTGCATTGGGTTTTTAGTTGAGAGATGTGAACTCTTAGTTGTAGCATGTGGGATCTAGTTTCCTGACCAGGGAAAGAACCTGGCCCTGCTGCATTGGGAGTGTGGAGTCTCAACCACTGGACCACCAGGGAATTCCCAGGGCATGGGTTTTTAGCTGTTTCATTTACTACTTTATCCTTAGCACTAGAAAAATATCTGGCACATAGGAAGTGCCAGATACAAAAAACATAGATTGAATGTATAATGAGAGGTATCTACATATGGAAAAGTCTAGAAGATTATGCACCAAAATATTAATAGTGACTACTTCTAGGAGGTAGCAGAAGAATTTTATTTTTCCTAATTTTGCGACGTGTTGCTTTGAATTTTTCAACAGTAAATTTGTAATATTTGTCTAAAGAAAAGGAAGTGCTACCAGCTCTGAACTCTTTTTCCTCTACATCTTTAAAACTGGAGCCTAGACTTTAAGAAGCCAAGCAAGGTGGGATCTGCCTTTTCTTTCCCTTCCACCTGCCCACCCACCATCTTCCTGCCCTTCCTCTCCTCTTTCTGCCCCTTCTCCGCCCACCAGCTTCTGCTGGCAGAGCTCCCCAGGCTTTTCTGTGCCACCTTGGCATAATAAGGTTTAGGTAAAGCCCCTGGAACAATGGACAGGCTCCTGAGTCATCAGGAGCCAGGAGAGGGCCCTGTGCAGCACCAGCCTTCTCCCTCCCTGCCAGGCCAGGCTAGCAAGCAGGTGCCTCTGGGGCCAAGAGGGACAGGCTGAAGTTGCAGCAGGAAGGAGCGAGGTTAGACCCGAGACCTTCCTGACAGTAATAAGAGTCTGGAGCAGGTCAGAGAGGTCTTAGAGCCAGTCTCCTTTCCTGGAGGGCAGGAGGGGCACTTCCTCTTTACATGGAGGAGATTAGTTGGTGTATCTCCGCATACCAAGCACAGTGCTTGGTTCTGAGAAGTGCCCAGCAAGTCTTATGGGTCGATGATGGTGTGTGTGAGCTTATTGGGATGCTGGGGGTTTGGGGTCCCCTTCTATGGTCTCTGTCCTCATCGTGTGACTGTAGTGCAGGATGAAATGAGTCCTGGCTTAGTGGACTTTAGTCCTGTCCTTGCTGTGTGGCCTGGGCAGGTTGCTTGCCCTCTCTGGACCTCAGTTTCTTGTGCTGTGAAACAAGGGTGTAGGATAAGATGAGCTCTCAGGTCTCTCTGCTCTGACATCCTATAATAACAGGCAGGTATTATGCACATGTGGGGGGATTTTGCTGTCGGGTCATTCTCCAGTTGTGAGTATTCTGGTCTTAACTAGACTACAGTCCCCGAGACCTGGTCTGTGTGGCTGTGGGACACACGGGCCGGCCTGCCTTGACTTGCTTTGTTGGCAGTCGGCACGCTGCTGTCTGCACTCCCCAGTTCTGCTAGCCTTCCCTCCCCTGGACCCAACCTATGGTTCCTGTCCTTGTCACTGTTGTGACTCAGAGGCTACGTGGAGCAGGGGGCTGTGATTCTTCCTTTAGGAGAGTTGGGTGGGCTGCAGCGCAGAGCAAGCATCCGTGAGCTGAGGGATTAGATTCAGGAACCTTCAGGATAGACTGAGAGAGGTCTTCACTCTTTGAGTCCCCGCTCCCAATCCTGCTTTTGTTACTTCTTCCATCTATGAAAGCTTCCCAGACTAAACCTCTCTTTTCTCATCCCCCAGTCCTGACAACTAATGCCACTCTGGGTTCTGGTCTTATTTCTTGGGTTGTGTGTGTCTGGGGGTGGGACCACCTCCTCTGTCAGAGGGTTACTCAGTTTTTTGGGACCATGATCCCTGGTAAGAAATGCATTTTATATCACAGTTCTGTATATATTTATACAGACATAATGTACACTGAACACAATTTTATGGTGATACACTCTGATATGCTGGTTGACATCCATTAAGTTAATTTCGCAACCTACTAGTGAACTGTAACTTGCAGTTGTTTTTTTTTTTTTGGTTGCCCTAGGTCTTCATTGGAGTGTGTGGGTTTCTCTAGTTACAGTTTGTGGGCTTCTCTTGTCATGGGACATGGGCTCGAGAGAAAATGGGCTCAGTAGTTGTGGTGCACAGGCTTAGTTGCCCCATGGCATGTGGGATCTTAATTCCCTGTTCAGTTCAGTTCAGTTGCTTGGTCATGTCTGACTCTTTGCAACCCCATGCACTGCAGCACACCAGGCTTTCCTGTCCGTCACCAACTCCAGGATCTTGCTCAAACTCATGTCTATTGAGTTGGTGATGTCATCCAACCATCTCATCCTGACCAGGGATCGAATCTGCGTCCCCTGCATTGGAAGGTGGATTCTTAATCACTGGACCACCAGGGAAGTCCTGTAACTTGCAGTTTTGAAAATACTATTCTCTCAGGCTGAAGTCTGAAAGCAAGGAGACCAAACCAGTCAGTCCTAAAGGAAATCAACTCTGAATATTGATTGGAAGGACTGAGGCTGAAGCTGAAGCTCCAATACTTTGGCCACTTGATGTGAAGAGCTGACCTGTTGGAAAGGCCCTGATGCTTTGAAAGATTAAGGGCAGGAGGAGAAGGGGGCAACAGAGGATGAGATGGTTGGATGGCATCACCGACTCAATGGACAATGAGTTAGAGCAAATTCTGGGAGATAGTGAAAGCTGGCATACTGCAGTCCATGGGGTTGCAAAGAGTTGCACACGACTTAGTGACTGAACAACAGGCTGAAGTTCCTTGGGGATGGAGACAGAAGATTCAACCCCCTCCCTAGGGCTTATTGCTTAAGATGGCTATGAGAGGTGGCTGGTGAGAGGGGCTGAGGAGGGGCAGGGAGCTGGTCCAGGTAAATCCCCAACTTCATCTCCCAGCCTAGTAGTTCCTACTGGGCCCCAGACCTTATTTTCCCAGGGTTGCAGGAATCCTGGGACCTTTCCCCTAGAAGTTGCCTCATGGGCCTTTCACCCTTGGGTGTTGGGAGGCTGTAACATGCCACATAAATATTTGCCAAATCAGGAGCGGTTGCTAGAAGCAGGACACCCAACTGGCTGAACCTGATTGGGTCTGAGTGGCAGTGACTGCGTGCTGGGCCCTGATGGGCAAGTCTGGACTCAACTCGTGTCTTCTGATCTGTACTCTTCCGCTTCCCTCTCAGCCCAGCTCTCTTTCCTCTGATACCATCAGCTTGCTCCTAAAGGGGTGTTCCTGGCTCCCACAGTCTGGGACAAGTCGTGCTCCACAGAAGGGCTTCCACCTTCCTCACCCCCGGCCAGGGGAGTGCAGGAGCCAGTTTGTGCAAACTCGTGAGAGCTAATTGTGTTCGCTTCCTCCCATCTCTGCAGTCAGGGCCAGAATGCTGGGAGCTTGAAATCAGCCATGGTGGGAGCGTTTATACCCTAGAAAGTGATGGCACACACTACAAAACAGAGACGTGTTCTCACGACCCTGCAGACAGCCAGCTGTTATCCTGCAGCACCTGCTGTTCAGTGAAGCTCAGCCAGTCCCCTCCCTGCTGCTCTCCCCAGCTCCTAGCAGAGGGGAGGTTTCTGGTTCTCTGTTGACTAGGGAAACATGTGCACAGGCCTATTTTCAGTGGAGACTGTGGCCTTCCTGAGAAGACTACAGGATCCTTAGAAGAGCTGGGTTCTCCTCCTGGCTGGACATATTCCTGTCTTCGAGATCTTGGGTAGTTGCTTTTGCTTCTGTGTCTGTGAACAAGAACAATACCCAGTTTTCAGATTGTGGTGAAGACTAAAGAAGGTTAAGTTTCTACAGGGCCTGGTACAGTGATTGGCACTCAGAGGGTCTGCAGTAAAATTTATTTTGTAATAGAATTAATTTTTTTATTAAAGTATAGTTGATTTACAATGTTGTGCTAGTTTCAGGTGTAAAACATGGTGATTCAGTTTTACACACACACACGTATATATGTATATATATTTATTTTCCTTTATAGATATTACAAAACGTTGATATATTTCCCTGTGTTATACAGTATGTCCTTGCTGATTATTTTATTTATTTTAATTAATTAATTAATTATAATTGGAGGGTAATTACTTTACACTATCATGATGGTGTTTTGCCATACATTAACATGAATCGGCCACTCTATTTTATATCTAGTAGTGTGGAGAAGGAAATGGCAACCCACTCCAGTACTCTTGCCTGGAGAATCTCAGGGACAGAGGAGCCTGGTGGGCTGGTGTCTATGGGGTCGCATGGAGTCGGATATGACTGAAGCGACTTAGCAGAAGCAGCAGTGTATATCTGTTAATCTCAAACTCCTAATTTATCCCTTCCCCCCCATTCCCCTTTGGTAACCATTTGGTTTGTTTTCTATGTCTGTGGGTTTCTGTTTTGCAAATAAATTCATTTGTAACTAAAAAAAAAAGATTCCATGTGTGAGAGATATCTCATGGTATTTGTCTTTGTTTGGCTTACTTCACTGAGTATGACAATCTCTAGGGCCACCCATGTTATTGCAAATTCTTTTTTATGGCTGAGTAATATTCCATTGTACATATGTACCACATTTTCTTAATCCATTGCTTTGTCACTGGACCTTTAGTTTGCTTCTGTGTCTTGGCCATTGTAAATAGTACTGCAATGAATACTGGGGTGCCTCAACAGAATTTTAAAAACATAAGCACGTTATACATGGAAAATGGCTATCACTTCAAAGTTAAGAGTTTGGTGTTGTCCCTCCTTGCTCCCACCCTCAACCCAGAACTTGGAGACACACATTTAAATTCTGAGCTTCCAGGAAAGCTTAGAAAATCCTTCCTTTCCACATTCTTGGGAATGTGCTCCCTGTGGGTTTTGGGGGCTCACTACCTGGGCACAGAGGGCCCACAGGGGCAGTAGTTTGGCTCACCTTGGGGGCACCCTTCCCTGTTATAGTAAGCCCATCCCTGGGTGGGCATCATCTTCCTTCATCACCAGTGCAGTGAGGAGGGCAGGGGCTACTCACCCCAGCCCAGCAGGTAGGAGGGTGCCAGGGCAGAGCAGGCTGGCATGAGGGTGCTCTCTCTGGCCTGGGGGAGAGTGAAGGGCAGGCCTTTCATCTCCCCCCTCCCCTCATGCCCTGACAGGCCAGGAGAGCTGTCAGCTGTCTTACAGGTGAGATAGAAATCAGCTACAGCCCATGGGCGCTGCTCCCTCCCTCCCTCACTGCACTGGTGATGGAAACTTTGAATAGGGTTGAGGTTGACCTGTGTTCTGTGTAAACCAAAGCACAGAGAAGAATGTTTTACATTTTAATAGTTATGTTTTATGTGAATATGAATTAGAAAAAGATTAGAACTAGCACACAAAAGCTACATTTTCAAGGATATTATGGTTTAGGGTCAGGATAAGAAAGGGGTGAATCCATTTAAATTCTATTTTAAGAATATATTAAGGACATACCAGTATGTCTGGCATTACACAATGGCATGATGTTGGAGGTTGAATGTGAGTGCCTGATGTTTGGGAGACTTGGGAGATTCTGGGTTAGAATTTGGTATGTATTTCTTAGTTGCAAAGGCTGAGCTGAGGGAGGGGTCCGTGGTGCCTAGATCGAGGAAGTCATGGGCTGTCTGTTATCGGGAAAGTGAGACTGACTAGAGGCAGGCACAAGACATTTGAGCCTTTCCGTCTAGTTCCCCACAAACAGGATGGGACAGGAACCAGCCCCTTTGTGGACTTTCGAAAGCCAGGGAGACCCGAATGGGTGTGGGTAGCCATGCCTCACCTTAACCCCAGGCGATGACTTCCATTCTTTGGGGATGTGCCCAAAATAAGCACACCTGCTTTTTCAAGAAGATGCCAGAACCACAAGAATTGTACCTGCATCTATAGTGGCACCTCCAACACTTTATTGCATTTTCAGTTCAGTTCAGTTCAGTCACTCAGTCATGTCCGACTCTTTGCGACCCCATGGACTGCAGCACGCCAGGCTTCCCTGTCTATCACCAGCTCCTGGAGCCTACCCAAACTCATGTCCATTGAGTCAGTGATGCCATCCAACCATCTCACCCTCTGACGTCCCCTTCTCCTCCCGCCCTCAATCTTTCCCAGCATCAGGGTCTTTTCAAATGAGTCAGCTCTTCCCATCAGGTGGCCAAAGTATTGGAGTTTCAGCTTCAAAATCAGTCCTTCCAGTGAATACCCAGAACAGATCTCCTTTGGGATGGACTGGTTGGATCTCCTTGCAATGCAAGGGAATTTTACTGGTCTTCAACATATATTTCCCACTTCTTCCCTACTCCCCATCCAGACTGCAAACACCTTGAAGGCAAGAACTTTCATTAAATTTTGTTTAACTTGGGCTGGCATAGTGTCTGGCACCAGCTGGTGTTTAATTAGTGTTGATCAGGGATGAATGTGGAGGAATGAGTTTCACTTTCAAATCTGCTGTGTGACTTCGGGCAAGTCATTCTACCTCTCTGGACTTTAGTTGGTTGAGGTGTCCTTCAACATGGACATTCCTAGGTCTCCTAGAGGAGTGCAGTGAGGTGGTTAACGGCAACGACTCTGGAGTCCATCTATGTGCATGCGTGCTCACTTTGGTCACATCTGACTCTGCAACTCTATGGACTGTAGCTCACCAGGTTCCTCTGTCCATGCGGTTGTCCAGGCAAGAATACTGGAATGGGTTGCCATTGCTTCCTCCAAGGGATCTTCCCGACCCAGGGATCGAGTCGGAGTCTCCTGCATCTCCTGTACTGCAGGCAGATTCTTCACTGCTGAGCCACTGGGGAAGCCCTGGAGTCTGTCTACCTTTGTTCAAATCTTGGTTCCATTCCTACTAGCTGTGTGGCCTTGGGGAAATTATTTTTTCTCTCTGTGCCTCCCTCTGTAAGGTGGTAATAATCCTAGTACCTACTTCATAGGGCTGGGTTGTTAGGATCACCTGGTTGCTATAAGTAAATGGCTTAGATAAAGGACAGCTGGGTAGATTCCCAAACAGCTGAGCGTAGAGCTACAGCTGACTTGTAGCTATATGGGGATCTGTGAAGGAGCATGCTAGAATGAGGGAACAAGTGCAAAGGCTCTGAGGCAAGAGTGTTCCTGGCATGTTTGTGAAAAAATTAGGGGATAAACTAGGTTAGGTCTCTTTCATGCCCTGTGCTTTTCCTGAAAGACATACACTGAGAGGATGTACAATGGCAGAGGAAGGGTTTCTAGTGGCATGCCACAAGCCTCTGTCCTTGTTTTTTTTTTTTTTTAATTTTATTTTTTATTTATTTATTTTTTTATCACAACCATAGTGTATCTTTTTCTCTGTCCTTGTTTTCCTTCAAGACAAAAGAGGAATCCCTCACTATCATAACAACATGTCTACTTGCACCCAAGGGCAGTCTCTCTCAGATTTTCCTCCCCATTCTGCATTCATATGTGTATTTCTCCATGGCACTGTATAACTGTATATTCTTTTCATATGGAAATGGGGCCTTATCCATCTTATATCTCCTGTATCATTTAGCTCAGTGCTCTGCCCACAGTAGGAGCTCAATAATACACACACACGCACGCACACACATGACTACGTTTGCTTGCTCCCAGCCTTGTCAGGGAGTGAGGTGCTTTGGACAAGAGAATTGAGAGTTACAAGGATATCCAGAGGTTGAAAGATGAAGGAGATCAACAAGATGAAATTGAATGGGGAGTCATTTATTTAACAAGTGTTTACCCAGCACCTACTGTACTTAGGCAGAGTTCTAAGTACAAAGGATATAGAAGTGAGCAAAGAGACCAAATCCTCACGTTCGTGGAAACGATATTCTAGAGTAGGAAGATTGACAAACAAAATGAAGAAGTGAAATGTATGGCATGTTAGAAAGTGCCAAGTGTTCAGTGGAAGGAGATAGAGCTGGGAAGGAGGTAAGAAGTGTCAGAGCAAGTTGGTGTTTCAGTTTTGGTTTGGGGCAGCCAGAGATGGTGACTTGTAGTTACTTGGGGTTCTGCGAAGGAGCATTCTAGAAAGAGGGAATAGCAAGATCAAAGGTTATGTGGCAGGGGTGTTCCTGGCATGTTTGAGAAAAAATTAGGGGATAAACTAGGTTAGGACTCTTTCATGCCCTGTACTTTTCTCTCCTTATCTTAATTGCAATTAAATACTTGTTTAATTACCTGTTCAATGTCTCTTTCTCTGCTGGACTCTAAGCTTTCTTAGTGCAGAGGCCGGGCCTTGTTCTCTGCTAAATTCCTAACTCTCAGCATAGGTCCCGCCCGGCACACAGGAGGTGTTTAATCATAATTTGTTGAGTCCATAAGTAAATGTGGGGACTTCCTTGGTGGTCCAGTGGTTAAGAATCCGCCTTCCAATGCAGGGGTTGTGGGTTCAATCCCTGGCCGGGGAACAAAGATCCCACAAATCTCAGGGCAGCTAAGCCTGTGGGCCACAACTAGAGAAGCCCAAGCATTGCAATGAGAAGCCCTTGTGCTGCAACAAAGACCCAGTGCAGCCAAGATTAAAAAAATAAGTTCAATGTGAATAAATGGCTATTGGGTAAAAGCATCCACTGCACAAGCAGAACAGGCTTGAGTGCAATTAGAGGGAAAGAGGTTGAGGAGTTGTAGCTGCAGCCACAGGTGAACTCAGGGTGGAGCAGTAAGAAAAGGGGCCGCTGAGGAGTGGTTAATACAAGTAGCTGCCCTGGCTGGGTATCCTCGAAAGCAGGACTGTGGTAGGTAGGGATTGTAGGGCTTGAGGTGTGGTTGAGGCTGGTTGACTTGGAGCAGGAGATTTAACCCAATGGGTAAAACCCACTGGAACTGTCACATGCTGGGTTTAACGGTAAGTCCATGATTTGAGCCATTTGCACTTTACTGCCCTGTAAGTGGGACCCTTTTGTGTACCTTTGTGTGTAACACTTGGGCTTCCCAGGTGGTGCTAGTGGTAGAGAACCCACATGCCAATGCAGGTTAGACATAAGACTCGCAGGTTCAGTCCCTGCATCGGGAAGATGCCCTGGAGGAGGGCATGGCAACCCACTCCAGGATTCTTGCCAGCAGAATCCCCATGGACAGAGGAGTCTACAGTCCATGGTGTCACAAAGAGTCGGACATTACTGAAGTGACTTAGCATGTGTGTACCACTTAGCCTCCGAGGGGTCTAGTATTCAAATCTCCAGATCATTTTGTCATTCTCTCCATCGTGGCATGATTTTTTTTTTTTAATGGAGGAAAACATGTTACAGTAGTGTTTGAGAATTTAAGGGGATTCAAGAAGGTCCCTGGGTATAACTGTCATGGGTAAGAATTCACCTCTTAGACAAGTACTTTGAATGCCTAGTGTAAGCCAGACCCTGAGCTGGATGGAGGAGTGGACAAGGCAGACACGGTGGAGTCATGATCAAAGGTCTGTTTATGGGCTGTTCCTGGATCAGTGGTCTGAGCTGGGTGGGGGCTCAGGCTTCAACCCTATCCGCTGTGTGGGTGGCCTTGAGCAAGTCGCTCAAACCAGAGTGATGGGTCAAAGTAGGCTTAGAGGTCATCTGGTGCAATCTCTTAGATTACTCAAGGTTGCAGTCTCTGCACCTACCCTAAACCCTATGGGGCCTCAGAATCCTTAAGTGAAAAACAAGGGCATTGGACCAGAGAACGTTGAAGCTCTCTGGCTTTAATACTCTGTCACATGCTCAGTCGCTTCAGTCATGTCCGACTCTTTGCGACCTCATGGACTGTAGCAGACCAGGCCCCTCTGTCCATGGGATTTTCTAGGCAAGTATACAGGAATCGGTTGCCGTGCCCTCTTCCAGGGGATCTTCCCAATGAAGGATCGAACCCTCATCTCCTGCAGTTCCTGCATTGCAGGTGGATTCTGTAGTGCTGAGCCACTGGGGAAGCCCTTCTGATACTCTGAAACATTACAAATATGGGGCAGTTTCAAGTGTGACCTTTGCCCTCCACCCTTGATATTGGTGGGGAGGGAGTGGTTGCATCCAGCCGGCAGAGATCTTTCTCAAGAATGTTTGTGCCTCTGTGGAGTGGTCCCCAGGGGGCTAGGGTTTGGAGGTGGGTCCTCAATGGGAGTCAACCCATTTCCCAGATTCTCTTTCTAGACTCCAAGTCTGCCTGCACTGCCTCCTCTCTTCTTGGTGTACCTGAATCATTTCTTGGATTGTTTTCCTTCTCTTCTCTTTCTCACCTGAGTCCTCAGTCCCTTTGTTTTCCCCAGAGGAGGCCTGGCCTCTTCCTCCCCTTGAGGTCATCTGTCATTCAGTTTCCTTCCGGGTTGTCTGCTGGATGGGGCTATAGGGGAAAGAGGAAGGGACTTTTAATCCTCTAGAGGGAGGGGAGACACGCTCACTGTTGTCTGTTGCCAGGGTTGGAGCGTCTACGGGATTGTTTGCATTGCTAGGACTGACTTCCTCATAGCACATCTCTTGCGTGTTCGTTATTCTGTGAGTCTCTGTACTGGCTTTGAGTTGCATTATCAAAGACCCCAGCACCCCAGCTTCAGGGTGCATCAGGCTCTAAGAAATGGGGGGAGAACGAGGGAGAAATAGCCCTCCCTTCATGGAAAGTAGACATTTCGGAAATTTCTGAAAATCAGAGCTGCCAGCCCTCCCTGCCCGCAGTGGGAGGGCAACAGGGGAGGCAGCTGAATGCTGCCTGCGTCCTCCACCGGGTGGGAGAATCGCTGAGTGATGAACCCTGGGGCTCCTCCAGTTAGCAAACTCTCAGGGCAGGGATTGAATCTAAAGCCACAAAGCTCCTATGTTTGTTCCCAGTCCCCAAGGGAAGGGTGCTTCTAAATGTACATTTTATTTTAGAGCCTGGGAGCTCTGATGAGTAACTTGAAAAATGCAGTGCGAGACCCAGGTTGATGGGCCTGGTGCTGTGTGTTTGTGGAAGGGACACAAGTTGGGCTTAGGAATGCTTTATCTGCCACCATCCCAGGTGGAGAGGCCTGGTTTGTGTCGGGTGGCGCCTTGTCGATGATTGCTGGGTTGGGCAAGAGGAGGGAATTGGATACCCTGTTTTTCTGTTTCATTTCCAAATCTTGCAGTGTCTTTGAGCCAGCGATGACAGTAACACCTCTATTAACCTCCTGGCTTCTCCTGTGCCTCAAAGAGCCTTCCTTCTTCTACTCTTGTATGTGGATCCTCCTTTGAGAAGCTGTGCTCCCCTGTCCAGCATCTGCAGGGCACTCAAGTGCTCCATTTGAATCCCCTCCATCTTCTTCTCCCCTTGAATGTGCCTCCCTTCTTTCCCATTTCCTCCTCCAGGAAGCCTTCCTTGAATGACCCTCAGTGACTTTGCTCAGGGCCCTCTCTCCCCATCCCCCAGCACTGAAGTCCCAGTCTCTGGCTGCTTCCTGGTCTTCAGAATGTGCCCATACTTCCTGTAGCCTGGAGCTCAGAGGGCAGGCTCTGGGTCTCTTCCCTGGGCCCTGCACGTGCCGGGCATCTATTCCCAGGCGTGTCAGAAGAGGTCAGCTGGAGCCAGTGACAGACACAGTCAGGCCAAGAGCATCTTGCTCTCCAAGGCCCAGCCCAGGCACGGGAGGGGATAAAAATCTCGTGCCGGGCCTCAGGGCAGGAACTCGCTCTTGACGATCCTTTGCAGCCCTGAGACCTTCAATCACTGCCATGTCTCTCTCTCCCTGCCGGGCCCGGAGGGGCTTCAGTGCTCGCTCAGCCTGTTCTGCCCAATCAGTGGGCCGAAGCAGGGCTGGCTTCAGCAGCAGGAGCCTCAGTTCCTTTCGGGGGTGCCAAGGAGGCTCTCGTGGAAGGACCTGGGGTTCGTGGGGAAGGCTAGGGGTGCGGCTTGGGGAGGGGACTGGTGGGCCTGGGCTTTCCCTGTGCCCTCCGGGAGGCATCCAGCAAGTGACCATCAACCAGAGTCTTCTGACCCCACCGAAGATTGAGATCGACCCCCAGTTCCAGGTGGTTCGGACTCAGGAGACCCAACAGATCAGAGTCCTCAACAACCAGTTTGCTTCTTTCATTGACAAGGTGAGGGTCCACTCAGCTAAGCCCCTGTCTCTGTGCCTGTCTCAGAGGAACTGTTTTTGATGGACTTGGGAAAGGGGCAGTCTAGCCTCCTACTCCTTTTCTAATCACTTACAGCAAGGAAATCCCTCTTGTGGTCTAACTGTAGGCTCTCTGGTTATGCTGAGGCTATGTTTAATTGGTGTTTTGAAATTCCCTTTATAGAAATGTCATTATAATTCATTGAGTGTGTGGGCAAATATTTATCAAAGGCCTCAAAGGCTCCAGGCTGGCTAGTGTTGCTCAGGCTAGAGAGTTGTCCCGGAGGCTGTGCCCAGGCAGGGAGTCTGGCAGGAGCCTCAGGAACTCTCTGCTTGTGTGGCAGGTGAGGTTCCTGGAGCAGCAGAACAAGGTCCTGAAAACCAAGTGGCACTTGCTGCAGCAGCAGGGGTTGAGTGACAGACCCCAGGGCCTGGAGTCTTTCTTCGAGGCCTATCTGGTCCAGCTCAAGACACAGCTGGAGCGGCTGCAGAGGGAACGAGGGCCTCTGGACGCCGAGCTGAAGTCCTGCCAGGGCCAGGAGGAGGAGTATAAAGCTAAGTATGTGAACCACAGCATCCCCATGGGGCCTGGGTAGTAGCTGGGAGGGCTTGAATCAGGCTGTCTGCTGGAAGTTGTCCTTCCTCTGAGCTCCTGGAGTCATAGGACAGGCCTCCCCTCTGGCCTCTCTGCATCCCCACTCTCTCTGATTCTCAGGGGGCCCCATCTGCTGCAGGTAAGAGGCTCTCCAGCCCCTGATACCCAGGACTGGAGAGCCTCGATTCTAGCAGGCCCTGACTATGAGGGCCACGTTTCTGGTCAAGGTGGGGAGGGGCTTATTTAAAGAATGTTCCTGTGGGTTTTTTTCTTGAGAAATTCCTGTTGAGCAGGCTGTGGGCTAAAGTGACTCAGATATTTTCTGGTCTCAGAGGTAGAAGGGAATTCACTTAGTGGGACCATCCCTGGGCCTGTGGCATGATTCACAGCTGGCTGCAGTTCTGGATTCCCCACGAGGTCACCTGGTGATATGGGGAGAGCTCTGAAGCCACAGAAGGCTCAGGTTTGGTGACTATGAGCAAGGAATAGCTGTGTGGCCTTGAGCAAAGAGTCTCGCCTTTCCCAGCTTCAGTTTCCATATCTGTAGACTGGGATAATGCCTTTCTCACGTTCCAGAGCCATTAGGAGGTTGGCTCCAGGGCCCACGTGGAGGGTCCTAGAAAGACTGAGGCCAGGAGACCTGGGTGATCTGCATTGGGCCACCTAATTATCTATAACCTGGGCACATCTTATAATCTCTCTGATAAAATCCAAAATGCCTGCTTCAGATGATGATTGTGAGTGGTAAGTGATTGTGAGAAGTGTTTGAAAGTGCCTTCCAGATGTGAAGCTAACTGACCTGATGTCATAGAGGGACCTGGGCTGAGAGAGTGAAGAGGGACATAGGACATGACAAAACTTCCTGACGGAAGAATAGAGGTGCAGGCTGGTGGTGGCTTCTGCTTTGGAGCATCTAAAACAGAGTGACCTTCGCTTGGAGACTGTGCTTGGAGACAGTCCTTGGCTCTGATGCCAGTGCCCTAGGCAGCGTCTTTCTGTGCTTACTTGGCAGGTATAAGCTTGAGGCCCATAAGCGTGCCACACTGGAGAATGACTTTGTGGTCCTCAAAAAGGTGAGTGGGTTCAACTGCTCTACCTGAATCCTTTTTTTTTAAAAAAAATTTATTTATTAAACTGCACTGGGCCTAAATTGTGGCATGTGGGATATTTAGTTGTGGCGGGCAAACTCTTAGTTGCGGCATGTGGAATCTAGTTCCCTCATCAGGGATTGAACCCCAGCCCCCTGCTTTGGGAGCACAGAGTCTTAGCCACTGGACCACCCGAGAAGTCCCCCGACCTGAATCCTGAGCCATTCATTGTGCACAGAATCTGGACTGCGAGAGCCGTGTGTGTGTGTGTGTGTGTGTGTGTGTGACATGTCACATGCTGTCACACATCTACAGGGACCCTGTGGGGAAATGGAACATATAGTTAGATACAGGGACCCTTGAACAAGATCCGATTGAGGGACTATGTGATGAGCTCTGGGAGTCACTGGGGGAAAGGGTGGGGAGGGAGTGGAAGAAGCCGAACTGGTTGGGATGAATTAGGGAAGGCTTCCTGAAGGCGGTGTGGGTCAATGGCAGACAAAAGAAAGAGCAGGGCAAGGCGGGGCTGAGAGAGGAAGGAATGTGAGCTGGAGAGGGCCATAGGGGTGTGTGTGCTGGGCAGTGTGTGAACAGAACTCCTGGGTCAGAGAGGGACCCCCAGTGAGGATGTGGGGGTACATGGTTTTTGTCTTTCTGTCCCCAGGATGCAGACGGGGTTCTCCTGAGCAAGATGGAGATGGAAAGCAAGGTGGAGGATCTGAAAGAGTACATCTGCTTCCTGAAGCATCTCTATGAAAAAGTGAGGATTCTCCAGGGGCAGAAGCGATGGTCTGCCGAGGGCAGGCGGGATGAGGGAGGGGGACAGCACAGGCAGGCTCCCTGTGGCCACAGCATAGTGGGAGTGGCCAGGAGGTGAAGCCTGGGTAGGGTGGCTTAGACACTGGTCATTCAGTCCTTTGACAATCACTGAGCATGTACCAGGTGAATTGCTAGGTATTGAGAATACACCCACGAATAACCAGACAAAAATCACGAGGCTAGGAGATAATGAACACAATAAGCAGTAGACCTGGTAAATAAATAAATTACATAGCATGTTAGAAACTGATAAATGCTATGTAAAAAGGAAAACTGGGAGAGGAGGATTGGGAACATGGAGGGGTAGGGCTGGTGGCAGTTTAAGAGTGGTCAGATGGCCTTATTTAGAAGACGAAATTGGAGCAAAGATCTGACTGAGGTGAGGAAGTTAGCCACATGGTGGGGGGTGGCTTGAGGGATTCCTGGCAGAGGGAGCCAGGAGCCTACTGGTCTTTGAGGAAATGCAAGGAGAAAGAGGGAGGGGATGTGATAGGAGGTCAGGGAGTGACGTGGGCTGTGTGATTTGGGGCCCCGAGGACATGTTCCTTTAACGTCCAGGAGTCCTTGGACTGCCCTCACTTCCAGATAAGAGGGCAGGGCATGCTCAGTGCCAGCTGGCATGAATGAGGGCTGCCTCTGAAGGGGGGCGCAGGAAGTCAGGCACTCTGCCCACTTTCCCTGGGGCTCCAAGGGAAAGGGGGAGCCAGGAAGCCATGGGACACTGAGTTGGTCCTCCCCACAGGAGCTGGGCCAGCTGCAGACCCAGGCCAGTGACATATCCGTGGTGTTGTCCATGGACAACAACCGCTGCCTGGACTTCAGAGACATCATCGCCGAGGTCCGAGCCCGGTATGAGGAGATCACCCGGACCAGCAAAGCCGAAGCCGAGCTGCTGTACCAGACCAAGGTGCCGGGGCTGGGGGGCTAGCACTGAGCTGGAAAAGACTGGATCTCCATGCCTGCCCCCCTGGGGTGGTTGTCCATCTCAGTCTGGTTGGGGCAGTTCTGATAACCTGTCTGGAGCACCAGGGCTGGGTGGGTAGCATGTTCTCCCTCTCCAGGAGGGAGGCAGTGCACGGGAGACGAGCTTGGAGTTCCACAACCTCATCCCACCACGTCCTGGTCTCAGCGTTTCACCTGCATTCCGGATGAGGATGTGAGGAGTCAGAGAGCCGGGGCCATGGTCAAAGGTGAGGGTCAAAGGTCAAAGGTGGGGTGCTCCCCACTGACGGTGTCACCTCTGTTCCCCCTCAGTACCGGGAGCTTCAGGCCTGTGCCCAGCTTCACGGGAACAGCATGAAGGAAACCAAAGTCCAGATCACTCAGCTGCAGCAGACAATTAAGAAGCTGCAGAGTCAGATTGAGAACGTCAAGAATCAGGTAAGGGTCCTGAGCCCCCAAGCCCTCTGTTTTACCACCTTTGTGCAGGGGTCACCGCGGGGTTGGTGTGAAAGTTTGAAAACTCATTGGAGCTTCACATAATTTGGGGTCGAGAGCACTTTGAGCCCCATGTCAGAGGGGTTCGGCTCTCCTCCAGGGGATTCTAGCTGCACGGGCTCCACACTGCCAACCCAGGCCCAGCCTTCTCACTGCATTCCATGCCCACATGCACTTGGCACTTTCGGCTCCTAGGGGAGAGGGTTAATTCATATCTTTTCTAATCTCTTCTTTTGACACTTAGTCCTCAAGTTCAGCAAGGACTCTAAGACCATGCACTGGGTTTCCTGGTCCCCTGTTGGGGAGGGAGAGAACCAGGATCTCAGGGAGTGGGGGACATGGGCAGGGTGGTGGGGTGCCGAGGCCCCCTTAGGGTCTGGTGATGCTTTGGGTGGGAAGAGCGGGGAGAGGTGGATGCAAAGGATGGCAAGGGTAGGGAGGTGGTTTTCTGCTCCTCCTGGCGACCTCACTTCCATATTACAGACTCTTAAGTTTTCAGTGTCTTTGCCCTCACTTTCCCTAAGCCCAAAGAATCGTTCTTTTGGGATCAACAGAGGGTTGAGAGCTGAGACCACAGAGTCAGAGGGTTTCCTCAAGCACTTCAGCCTGATTCCCAAGTCATGTGTGGCCCATGCACGTGTGAGCAAGGCACAGATCTTGGAGAAAGTTCTTGGAGTACAGATCATTCAAAGGCCATACACAGTCTCCAGACGTCCTGACCTGCTCTCCTTTGAAGTGCAAGGCAGGACCAGAGGTGAAGGTGACCAGGTCCTATTACTCAATTTGCTGCCTCTTTGTTTTGCTCGTAATTTTGGACTTTTTGCTTTGGAAGCTTGGGATTCTCTGGGGTGTCTGATAAGATACAGATTCCTGGGCCTCCCACTGGCAACAGGGAGTCAGAGTCTCTAAGGGTGGAACCCAGAAACCTGCTTTCTCAACAAAGGTCACCAGGTAATGATGAAGCGCGTGGAGTCTGAGCCCAGTGGGAGCACTTAGGAGAGTCACTATGTGCCCACATCTGGGAAGCACTGTCCTTCTGTACAGAGAGGTGTCTTTCCTGGGAGAATCCCTCCTGGGGACCCACCCCCTATTACTCCTCCTTTTCATGCACAAGCCTGATGAACGGAGACTAAAGTAAGAGCAGTGAACTGGACCTCAGATGTCCTGGGTTAGGGTCCCAGCTCCACCTCTCACCTTTCCAGGGCTGAGTTTCTTCATCAGGAGAAGGGAGACAGTGTCCCCATCCATGGGGTGCTTTGTGGAAAATGAATAATGAGAGCCTTTAGGGAATGCCTTCCTTCCTGACCCGAATGTGAGGGTAAATCAGCTAGATGGCTGATTAGACAGGGATGCAGTCTTTCCTCTAGGAGTTTTCTATCGGATTGGAGAGGTGAACACAGAGAAAGTGTTTTTCGAATTGAGGCCCATAGTTTGATAGACTCTGACAACACCTGGACAAAGTATTTGAAATGGGGTTGTTCTAAAAAGCACATGGATAATGATCCATCCAGGACAGGAGGAGCTGTAAGTACCCTGGGAGAGAGAAACTATTTGAGGGATGGCGCTGAGGGTTAGGGCTAGGGGAAGAAATACGGAAAAATCACTGAGGAAAGTGACAAAGGAGATGGATTCATTTCCTGTGGCTGCTGTGACCAAGTATCACAAACTTGATGGTTTGAAAGAACACAAAACTGTTCTGTCTGGTCCAGAGGCTGGAAATCTGAACTCAGGTGTCAGCAGCTGTGCCCTCTGAAGGAGCTGGGGGAGTCCTTCTTGGCGTCTGGTGGCTCCAGGAATTCCTTGTCTGGTGGCTGCCTCACTCTCATCTCTGCCTCCATCTATCTCAGTGTCTGTATCCCCTCATCTTTTTCTTGGACATTGGTCACTGGATTTAGGGCTCACCCTAAATACAGTATGATAGCATCTTAAGATCCTTAACTCATTATATCTGCAAAGGCCATATCTTTCCAAATAAGGTCATATTCTGAAGTTCTTGGTGGACATGACATTTTTGAGAACACTACTTAACCTGCTCTAGGATTTAAGAAGCACAAGAGGGAACACTTCCTTTTAGAATGAGAAGAGCTGGGCGTGGCCAAGAATAATTTTGGGCTCATGAGATTACGGTCCATCTCAGCTTTCAAGTTATAGTAGGTACTTTGGGTGCGCGTGCCATGCTGACAGTCACTTTTTCCCTTATCTCCATGCTTCGCTAGAACACCAGCCTGCAGGTCGCCATTGCTGATGCTGAGCAGCGTGGGGACCTGGCCCTCAAGGATGCTCAGACCAAGCTGGCCGAGCTGGAGGCCGCCCTGAGAACTGCCAAGCAGGACATCGCGCGGCTGCTGCGTGACTACCAGGAGCTGATGAGCGTGAAGCTGTCCCTGGATGTGGAGATTGCCACCTACTGCCAGCTACTGGAGGGCGAGGAGTGCAGGTGAGCGGCCAGTCAGGGCCCAGGGGATGTGTGAGCGAGGTGGGGGTGGGGGATGCCAGGCCAACACAGGATACTGAGAGATTTCTCTACACTCTGAACTGCTCAGGGCCTCCTATTCTGCCGGGAGGGATTTAAAATTGGGGGATTCTATCTGCTCAGAGTGTGCTGCTCCAAGAGGCTGAAAAGCACCCTGGGATATTCTCTGCAGCCCTTCTTAGTGTTTCTTTCTCTTGTCTTTTCTCCCCCAGGATGTCTGGGGAATGCGCCAGCCAGGTGACTGTCTGTGAGTATCAGGGGACTTCAGGAGAGGGGTTCCCAGGGGCAATTGAGGACTCTGCTGTGACCCTGCCTCTTTCTTGGCAGCTGTTGGGGGAGGCAGCACCGTCGTGTCTGGAGAAGCAGATGGTGGCCTGGTGGGCACTTGTGGACTTGGAGGCGGGAAAGGCAGCTTTGGGTCTAGTTGCTCCAGCGTCGTGAAGGGAGGCTCCAGCATCGTGAAGGGAGGCTCCAGCATCGTGAAGGGAGGCTCCAGCACCGTGAAGGGAGGCTCCAGCATTGTGACCGGTGGCTCCAGCATCATCCTGGGCTCTGGGCAGGGCCCTGTTGTGGGCTCTAGCTCTGTGTCTGGCTCTTCCTCTTGCTCCACCAGCCACACTATCCTGAAGAAGACGGTTGAGTCAAGTCTGAAAACGTCTGTCACATATTGAGTGACCAGAGGCCACCTACTCACCCCTGCTTTCCCGAGCCCTCTTAGGTCTTCTCTCATCCTCATCACTCCCACCTCTGCGCTGCCGACTCTGTGTCCACTGCCCACAGCCTGAGCCGGCCACAGGGGACTCTGCAGAAGTCCGCGGGTCCTGCCTGCTTGCTGTTCTGAATGCTCGTCCAGTCTAGCCTTGCTCTGCGTGCTAATTTGCATCTTTAGTTGTCTGCTGCTGGCCCCAACCAAGGAGCACAGGGCCCAGCCTCAGCCCACCAGCCAGCCTCGTCCTCCCCTCTCTCTGCAGCCTTCGACCGAGCTGGGAAAACTCCTGATTGGGCTTGGCGAGATTGCATCTCCATCCCAAGGGAGCGGGTCGAGGCCCACTGACCAGAACCTGAGGGCTGGAACCAAGGGCCACACCTTTGCCCTCTTCACCTGCCTCTGGGCCACCATTTCCGTATTTCTGTCCATTTATTCTCTGTGAAATAAAGCAGCACCCAGCTCTCCCTGCAATGGGTCTTCCTTTCTTTCTCTCTCCTGCTTCCCCACTCCTTCCCTCCCATGAATTTTTTTGAGTGCCAGGACTAGGGTTACTCTGGTAAGATTGATCAGACCTGTCGTGCTCGCCTAATGTGTCTCTCTTAGCCCTTCTGTCTCCAGTATAACCCCTCCCATTCATGAGAGCCAGATCTTCCTTCTCGGAGCTCTTGGTTTCCAGGGACAGAGTGTGGTTTGGTCGCTAAGTCATGTTTGACTTTTGCAACCCTATGGACTGTAGCCTGCCAGGCTCCTCTGTCCATGGGATTTTCCAGGCAAGAATACTGGAGTGGGTTGCCATTTCCTTGTAACTGGCCTTTTGCAGCGAATTCACATACTTAGGGTTGGGAGATCAGGATTTGTGCTGAGGTTCTTTTGTGTCCTCTTGCTTCTTCCAGTCTCCTCCCAGTGATGTGCTGGTTCTAGCTCTACCCAGGGTGGTAAGCTTGGGTCTTGTTATCTCATTTCCATCTCTCACCTCAGAAATTTAACCTGCTGCTTCTCCTGGGCAGGTGAATTCAGCACTGATGCTAAGCCATAACCTTATACATGTGTTCCAAGGGCATTTAGAAGACAGGCTGCAAGGCAGAGACAAAGGTTCCTTTTGGCGATGTGCAGCTTCTCTGCCACTCCTTCCAGCAATTCTGCTCTGCCCCAGGCTTGCATAGCTCATCTCCCCCACCCCCATCCCACAAAACAAAAGCTATGCAGGTACCCAGCTCACTCTCCTCAGAAGGCAATTTATGGAGTATCTACATTGTTTGAGTAGGTCCTGTGGGCATCTCACACCTCACACAAATCAGATCATTAAGGGATTCCTTCCAACACTCCACTATGCTCCCTGGTATGCCCGCCATCTCCTCCATCTCCACTGATGTTTTAGTGGCTCTCATAGCTTGCTCCCTAGTTAACTGCCTACAGTAGGCTCTATTCCCAACCAAGGACAGCCCCACTCATCCTTGTTCTTCCTTCTTCCCAAGATTGTGCCCATTTCTCTCTCCCTTGGAAGCCTTCCCTAATTCTCCATGTCAGAATGCACCAGACACTTCCTGGCACAGCCTGTTGCTATTCTTGGCTGTCTCTACATGGGTCTGTCTGGAACCCAGCTTCCATATTAGTCTGAGACCTCTGTAACCTCTGGGTGATCTGCATCCTGGATGGGGATCAGCAGCTCAGCTTGTGTCTGAGGTTTGTTGGGGACTTGGGACAGAAAGTATGCCCACCTCTCCTACCTCTTCATGCTCATTTCATCTCTGGGCCTGTCTGAACGTGACATTGGAAACTTCTCCCTCCCTCTTTTCAGGGAGCTCTGCAGGAAACCGGGAGTGTGGGCATCAGAACCAGGTGCTTGAAGAGTGGGAGTGTCACCTTCTCATCCCCCATCAGCCCATAGACTCCTATACGTCTTCTTTCTTTTTCCTCCTCTCTACCCAGCCAGCTCCCAATACTATGGCCTGAGCTTCAGGTTCAGTTCAGTTCAGTTCAGCCGCTCAGTCATGTCCAGCTCTTTGCGACCCCATGGACTGCAGCACACCAGGCCTCCCTGTCTATTACCACCTCCCGGAGTTTACCCAAACTCATGTCCATTGAGTTGGTGATGCCGGCCAGTCATCTCATCCTTTGTCGTCCCCTTCTCCTCCTGCCTTCAATTTTTCCCAGCATCAGGGTCTAGGTCACATCATTGTTCTCTGCTTTAGGGGGAGGCCAGCCCTTTTCTCAGACCCATAGGTTCTCTCCATCAAAAGTATCTAAGATAGAGCTTTCCAGCCTTTGCCTTCTGCGAGAGAGCCATTAGTGGGTGAGCACATGGTCCTAGAGCTAGACTTCTTGGGTTTGAATCCTGGCTCCGCCCTTTACTAGTGGTGTGACCAGTTTCCTGACCTCTCATCTCCATGCTTCAGTTACCTCACCTGTGAAAAGACATTCGTAATACAATACTCAGCTCATAAGGCCATGGGGGGTGGGAACATTTAGGGTCCCAGAAGGAAATCAATGTACTCAAGGTGGTTCCGCTAAATGGACTTTAATGAAAGAATTCCTTACAGAGGTGTGGGTGTGGCTAAGGACACAATCATGGGATGGAAAGTCCAGAGGTGGTCAGTGGTGGGAAGCCATTGCCACTCCCATCACCCCCCCACCTTCTCCTCTGGCAGCGGTGGCCAAACTCTGACTTGCATAGAGGTTTTCTGGGGTGTGGGATTTTCAGTGTTAAAGGAGGACGTTCAAGCATGTTAGTTGCTCAGTCATGTCCAACTCTTTGCGACACCATAGGCTATAGCCTGCCAGGCTCCTCTGTCCATGGAGATTCTTCAGGCAAGAATACTGGAATGGGTTGCCATTTCCTTCTCCAGGGCATCTTCCCAACCCAGGGATTGAACTGGGGTCTCCTGCATTGCAGGCAGATTCCTTATCATCTGAGCCACTAGGGAAGGGGCTAAAGTGGGATAGTCCGAGGAAAATCAGGAGGGGATGGTGGCTCTGTGTAGAGCTGAAGAGATGAGAGAAAGAGTGGATGACTGCCTGGGTGATAGAGATGTGGGAACAGGTAGAAGCTGTAAGCATGGAGGAAGGCAGCCACCCCTAGAGCAGGGAGGAGGTTGGGAGGAAGTACCTCCCATGTCTCCCAGATCTCCTACTAATGTCCCCCACTCCTTGGCCAACCCCCACCTCTGGAAGCCAGAGAGCCAGGGAGTGGCCTGCAGGGATCAGGGAGGTGAGGGAATCAATCGGAGCAGAAAGGATGCATATGGAGAATCCCCAGTGTGGGGACTGGATGTTTTTGTTTAGAAGGTGTTTTTGTGTTGAAGATATCTGCCCTGTAGTAAGTGCTCAATAAATGCCGACTATAGTAATTGTTCCTATTAGGTGAGAAAACCCTGCCCTGGATGGGGCTCCTCAAGGCCAGTGACTGGTTTCTTCATCGCGGCATCTTTCCTGTCGTTCAGCCCATGTTGGGTGCCAGGTTAACTCCATCGGCTGTCTGGCCTCATCCCTTCTGTATCAGCAGCAGCATTCTGTCCCCTCTCTTGTGTCCTCTGCAGGGAGGGGCCCTGGACAGGAAAGGGTCTCCAAAGACGGAGGCCCTTGGTCCAAGCAGCAGAGGTGGGGAGGGAGCCACGCCTCCTCAGCTACAGAAGAAAGGTCTGAATTTGGGTGTCCTGTATAAAGATGAGTGGGGAGCCAGACTAGAGAAGGTGGAGTGGCTCCCACGCCATCTGGGCTGGGGCTGGTGAGACTGTCTCTGATAGTAACTGTGGGCTTTCTCTGCGGGTGTTACCAGCCCCCAGCACACGGCTTGGCACAGAGTTCCAGGTAAATACAGGAGGGTGCCAGTCCCTGGGGAGGGGTGGAGGGTGTGTTTGTGGCCAACTCTACTCCCACCACCCTGCTGTGCCTGACTCAGATGGCTGACATCACTCCTTTCCCCACATGCCACTGTCTCCCCCTTCCATGCTTCCTGGGGAAGAGATAAGGGAGCTGAAAAAGAGGTTATAGCCTCAGGGACAGGACACAAAGGTCCACAGGAAGTGATGGTTCAGTCTTGGGATGGAGGGCCAGCGCTTTTGAAAGGACTTCCCTGGAGGGCCCTGGTCATAAGCAGAGGCGAGGGGGCCCAGAGAAGTTGAATGTTGCCCAGGGACACACAACTCAGTGGGGGTTCACCTCCCAGCTCAGCTCCCCCAAATGCCTGGTGTTCTGACTCCAAGCAGGGAGGAAAAAACCCCCCTCCTGGGCATTGAGGGACTAGTTCTGGGAGCATCTTCACCCCCATCTGGTGTGGGAAAGTAAAAGTGTGAGTTGCCCTGTCGTGTCTGACTCTTTGCAACCCCATGGAACCTGCCAGGCTCCTCTGTCCATGGAATTCACCAGACAAGAATACTGGAGTGGGTAGCCATTCCCTTCTCCAGGGGATCTTCCCGACCCAGGGGTTGAACACAGGTCTTCTGCGTTGCAGGCAGATTCTTCACCATCTGAGCCACCAGGGAAGCCCTAGGAGGCTGGATTCAACTCCTTCAGGCAACTGGGAGCCACTACAGCCTCCCAGCCACCTAGAAACCATCCCACAGCTTCCTCTGGGCCAGAGCACCTGCTCTCTGCCTGTTTCCTTGGGCAGTAGGGGTGGTCCCTTGTCCTCTCCTTTGGAACCCCAACCCTGGCCCTGGCAGCTGTTGTGGGGACCACAGCAAATGCTGTCCCTGCTCCTTTTTTTCGGGCAAGTCTCTCTCCTTCTGGGACCACTTCCTTGCACAGCTGAGGTGGGTAATCAGTGGCACATCCTCACCACTTCCTTGTCCTAACACCTGGCTAACATTACATCACCAGGTTCTTCCTCAGGGATATGTTTGGTCCCAGCTGCCCAAGGTGGTAGGTACGGACGAGACTCTGTGAAGTGATTTGAGGAGCCCCCTGGCCCCTTCTGGATCGAGATCCAGGGCTCTGTGACTGGGAAGATGGGATGCTGGGGGTATCTATAGGCTTCATGGGGCTTTTGTTGGACACATCTTGTTTTTTTCAGCTGCACCTTGCAGCATGCAGGATTTTAGTTCCCCGACCAGGAATTGAACCGGTGTCCCCTGTAGTGGAAGCATGGAGTAACCAGGGAAGTTCCAACACTTTTTGAATCTGTACTATGTCCAGCCAGAGTGGGGTGTGTCCTCCACCCACTTCCAACTCCTCCTAAAATGGCTGGGTCCTGCTGGGGGAATGCTGCCAATGGGGACTCAGGTGGCTGTTGAAGCCCCTGGTCTTTGCCTCCCTCATCTTCTGGCTTCGGCCCTTCTACCCTCCTTATTATTAAGTGCCCAGGCCTCTGAGTCAGGCAGGGACCCTCTTCTGTCCTGTGTCCCCTCTGCCCAGCATAGGCTTTCTACCAGGCAGACAGTCTGCTAGCATACAACAAAAGAACAGGCTATCCCTAACCCAGGCTGGCATCTGTGTCCCCAACCTGGAGCTGCCAGAAGGCACCGAGGCTGTGGGCTGGGAGAGTGGGACTGGAGCAGGCCCGGGCACCCTCTCCACAGCCCATTGCCCAATGCTTCCGCCCCCACCACCCGCACAGCCCGGGTCCTGGGGCCTTGGCTTACCACGGGGGCCTGGGATTAACCTCAGAACAGAGCCCCATTAACAGTGGCCACCAGGGCTGGGTGGGAGGAGACCAGTCACCCCTGGGTGGTGGGGGTGGCCCTGGGAACCCATGTCATCCTGTTCCAAGTCAGGAGCGCCCCGGGGGGGAGAAGGAGGTGGCATCCGGCCCCAGACAGTCGGCTCAGCCCTGGCTCTGGAGCTCAGGTGATAACTGGGAGCAGCCCTTCCCTCCCGCAGTGGGAGAGGAACACCCCCGGCCCTCAGGGCCCCTCCCTCTCTTCCTGGGGCGATGGGGCAGGAGTGTCTGTGCAGCCCAGGAGCCAGCCCAGTTGGGAAAAGATAAAAAGCCCATCAGTGGCCCAGCAGCTCACTGTGCTCCCTCCCAGCTCTCCGTTCTGCTCTGGCCCTGCTGCAGTGATGAGATCCTCCGTGTCTCGGCAGACTTACTCCACCAAAGGAGCCTTCAGCTCCAGCTCAGCCAGTGGTGGGGGTGGCTCCCGGGCCCGCACCAGCTTCAGCTCGGTGACTGTGTCCCGGAACAGTGGCAGCGGCGGGGGGCCCCGCTGTGGCCCCAGCATGGGTGGCTTTGGGAGCCGGAGCCTCTATAACTTGGGGGGCAGCAAGAGCATCTCGGTCAGCATGGCTGGAGGGGCCTCGGCGGGGCGAGCAATGGGAGGCTTCGGCCTTGGCGGCGGGGCCTACATGGGCCTGGGGGCTAGCAGGTCGACGCTGGGGCCCGTCTGTCCTCCTGGCGGCATCCAGCAGGTGACCGTCAACCAAAGCCTGTTGACCCCCCTCCACGTGGAGATCGACCCGGAGATCCAGCGGGTGCGCATGGAAGAGCGGGAACAGATCAAGACCCTCAATAACAAGTTCGCCTCCTTCATCGACAAGGTGGGCCCAGGTGGAAGGAGGCAGGAAGGGGCCGAAGAATGCAAGCTGGGCCCCTGAGAGAGGGTGGGCGGGGCGGAGGCTGTTGCAACCCATGTGCACTGGGGTGGGGATGGATGGAGTGACTTTTGAAGCCTTTCTGGCCTGAGCATGGGATGCCTGGACCTGAGTGGCTGGATGGTCTTTATTGTAAGTGATGATGATTCTTGAGTTGCACTCATGAGGCCTTTTGGCCCAGCCCAGCTTGATGGTGTTGCAGTCTTTCTTACAGTCATCATTAATGGGGTTTCACAGTAGCCTTATTGTACAATTAAATAGTGGATTGTCCTCATTATTCCTCTTAGTGGGGTGGCCCTTCCTGCTTCTTGTAATTTTTTAACTGGGAAAACTGGCTTGAGTGTCAAGTCCCCAAGAACCCCATGTGTTGTCTGTTCTCTTAGTTTTGGAGGAGGTCTAAGGACAAAAAATGTTATCTGGACACAGTGCAGTGGTGGGGAGTTCTAGAGGAAGTCTCCTTTTGGCTTCTCCAATTCTTCCTTGCTGTTCCAACCAAGAAACTCAGTGTGGGGGTGGACTTGAGTTCAGTGGTTACAGTTCACCATGACTCAGGGATAAGCAGTTTGATCTGCCTCAGATCAGGGGTATCCTGACTCCTTCTCTGGCCCCCAGGCCAATGAGGCAAGCTCTTGTACTAATGCCTGGCATTTCCAGGTCCATTTTGCTGCATTTTCTACCACTACCCCAAGGCCCCCAATCAGTGGGACCATGATGAGGAGAATCCTGGTGGATGACCATACGTTGGTTCAGTGATTTGTGGGTTTCCAAAGGACCCTAATGCCTCATTTCCTATATGATACCCACAGTGTTTCATGAGTCAGTCTAGGTGACAGTGTATCTATTTTTAAAAAGAGAAAATTGAGGTCTGGAGAGACAAAGTGATTTGCCCAGGATCACCTGGAGGCAGTGGTGGGCCTGGGACTGAAGTTTATGGCTTTAAGAGGTCACTGCTCCTGGCAGGTACACCTGCTGCATGGTGCCCTGGGGCCATGGAACCATGGGCCTGGGGTGCTGTGGAGGTGGGATCCGGAGAGACCAGATGGCAAAGGATGAGGCAAGCTGTTTCGCCCAACCCCTCACCCTCTCCCCGAGTGACTTTTGGTTCTTCTGTGGGACTGTCCCAGAAGTCAAAGAAACAAACCCCTCTCAGGCTCTCAGAATCACAGCCTGGGACCTGGGGGCCTGAAAGTTTGTCCGTGTCTGGTGTCTTAGAAGCCTGGTTGGGCAAAGAATCCCCCTGGGGGCCCATTAAACTCACACCATGAGCCCACTTCTAAGTCTATAGAGATAGGGCTGGACATCCATATTTTAAAAACTTAAAAAATGTCAAGTTAACAGAAAAGTTTCAATAATAGTACAATATATTCCTATATTTCTGGGTGAAACCCAGATCAACCAGTTTTTAGCATTTTGTCACTTTTGCTTTCTTTTCCCCTCTTTGTAGGTATATTTGTATATATCCATATGTACATATATATACACATATACTATAGATGTTTCTGCATTTAAAATTTTTGATCATGATGCAGAATTAGGGTTCAGAAACGTTGATTTAGTCTGATTTACCCAGGATAAATGAGAAGAGGAGACCCAGGGAGAAGTGACTTGACTGTCACCAACCAGTAAATGACTGAACTGGAACTTTTATATTTATTAATCTTTTAGAGTCCTTGTCATTGGATCGAACTGTCTTTTTCAGCAAAGATGGTTGCCTCAGGAAGTCCTCCCCAAAGCAAGGCATAGACCCCGCACTGCCCCATGGTGTGTCCTGGTCAGGATGGATGGTGATGATGGGCCTGGTCTTTGGTCCTTCCTGGAGCTGGGAGAGGCCCCAGCCCACCCTTCTTGTTCTGGCTCAGGTGCGGTTCCTGGAACAGCAGAACAAGGTGCTGGAGACCAAGTGGGCGCTGCTGCAGGAGCAGGGTCAGAAATCAGGTGTCACCAGGAACAATCTAGAGCCCTTCTTTGAGCGCTTCATCAACAACCTGCGGGGGAAGCTGGACAACCTCCAGAGCGAGCGGGGGAGGCTGGACTCGGAGTTGAGGAATGTGCAGGATCTTGCTGAGGACTTCAAGACCAAGTGAGGAGTGCTGGACCAGCTGTGGCCATGTGTGGATGGGGAGGGGCAGCATGGGGATCTCTCAAGAGAGGGCCACCCGTTCCTGGGTCCTAGGACCCAGCTGGGTGGCTGCTCAGACAGAGCTGTTTCCCATGGGGGCTCATACTCTGGACCCATGGCCTCCTGGAGGGTTGTCACAATGTGTATTAATTTTAAAAACTATTATAAGATAGGGAGAAAAGTGTAATGAACCTTTATGGTCTCATTACCCAGCTTTTATAATTATCAACTCACAGCCAGTCTTGTCTTGTCTATACCCCTACTCACTCCCTTCCCCTCTTCACTTATTGTCTTGAAGCAAATCTCATTCATCCAAGTCATTTCACTCACAAGCATTTTTATTGGGTGTATTCATAGAGTTCATCTGTATAACTTGATTTAATAATATACAAACACAATGCCATAAGAACACCTAAATCTTTTAAAACAGTAATCCTCAGTATCATCAACTATCTAATCAATGATTGAATTTGCCCTTGTTCTGTAAGTGTCACAAATTTTAAAAATACAGTTTATTTGAATCAAGATGCAAATAATGTACTACACAAATTCACATATTATGATTGGTTGAGCTGTATATTTATGAGTTTAAGGTATAAACATTCATAACTTTCCCCACTGCTTGACACTGGCAGTTTTTAAATCTTAAAAGTCTCAGTGAAAGCAGTTGGACAGAAGTTGGCGTTTTCAACGATATCCTGCTGTAGAAAGTGAATGCAAAGGTTAACCACTGTTGACACATCTTCACCTGTTCCCATAAAGCCTCCCAAGGGCTCTGATTCAAAGAGATGGCTGCTCTCAGTTGCCATATTATTGCACAAATACTGTGTTCGCTTGCTCAAAGAGGGTGGGTGGATTATTTAAAGACTGTATCCCAGTTTCTCCATTGGTGGGCTGCATTACAGAACTGCTCCCCAGAGGTGTTCTTGGCCATCGTGGGACCTATTAGGGACTCCTTAAAGCCAACTAGGTTAGGTGTCTTAAAAGGTGAACTGGGTTGAGTCTTCCTTGTGTAACAGGTATGAGGATGAAATCAACAAGCGCACTGCCGCAGAGAACGAGTTTGTGGTCCTTAAGAAGGTGAGCAGATGGTCTTTATCTGCCAGGGTGCTGGGCTGACTTGAAGAGGGGCAAGAGTCCTGGGGGCTGAGCCCACTGCCCTTCTCTCTCTCTCTCCCCCAGGATGTGGATGCTGCATACATAGGCCGAATGGATCTGCATGGCACGGTGGACCACCTGGTGGAAGAGATGGACTTCCTGAGGCATCTCTATGAAGAGGTGAGATAGCCAATGGACAGGGATACTTACATTCACATACAGTTTTGGGGATTCCTCTTGAAAGTCTGATCAGAATTCAGTAGTGCAACTTCATTGGTAGAATATAGCACCTGGACCCTTAATCCATACTAGCATCCCAGTCTTATTGTGCTTATAATGGGCCAGGAACTGGGCTAAGGTTTTTATATAATCCCCTCAACAACTTCATAATACAGGTACTGTTATGGTCTCCATTTTATAGTCTTGGACACTGAAGCTCTGAGTAAGTTGTCCATGCTGTCTTAGTTAGCTAGAGGCAGTTGTGGAATTAAAACTTTGTCCTTGGACTGTTATACTATTTTCCTTATTGCCCAGTTTGTAACAGAGCAAAGGATGGAGGACCTGAGATGGGCAAATAGTGGGGATTGAAATTCCAAGTTAGAGCAGGAGGTGAGGTGTGGGTAGCAGGTAGATCACAGAATTTAGGAGGGATTCCAGGAAACAAGGGGGCTTTGAAGATTAAGGTAAGAAGGTTGAACTTGACATGAGTTGATCATGGACTCTTAGGCTCAGTAGGGACCCCAAGGCCAATCTTGCGCTCAGTATAAGAGCCCTTTCTCTAATATACCTCACAGGGAACCATGTAGTCTTTACTTGAAAACTTCCAGGGTCAGGGAGCTCACTCTTTTTTCGGGCAGGCATTTCCATTGTTGAACAACCGTATTGGAAAGCTGACTTGAATCTTCTTCCCATAACTTTTGCTCTTAACTGGCCCTGATTCTGCCCTCTGGGCTGCGTGTATCCAATTGTCTTCCAGGTGACGAATGCCTGCCATATGACAACACTTTAGTGGTCAGGATGATTAGAGAACTGGCTTCTGTGGCATGTGAGAAAGCTGGGGAAACAGCATTCTTAGTCCAGAATTCAGAAAATAGAGGTGGGGAGGAAGGTTATGGATCCAGACTTTTCTTCATGCAGCCTACTGTAATACTAGTTTATGTGTTAATTTTAGAAGCTGTTTCAAAATGTTTGCCCCTTAAAAGTCCCCTGGGTTTTTCCATGTGAATGATTTTAAGTGAGACATGCACCCCCTGTTTGCTGCTGAATTAAAAAAAAGTTTTGTTTTGTATCAGAGTATAACTGATAAACAATGTCATGATAGTTTCAGGTGGATAGCAAAGGGACTCAGCCATATATATACATGTATTCATTCTCCCCCAAACTCCCCTCCCATCCAGACTGCCACATAATATTGAACAGAGTTCCCTGTGCTATACAGTTGGTCCTTGTTGGTTATCCATTTTAAGTACTGGGCAGCTGAATTTTTGAAACTGAACTAGAGTTAATGATTCCTTTTTCCTGTGAAGTGTTATTATGGTTTCATCCCATCACTTTAGGTCACTGTGGGTGCTTTGAAACTTGATTCTCCTATTCATATATTGAAGGTGTCCAGTTGGATAAGTGGATATATTAGTGATGCCCCAGCTTTGGCTTATCTGCAGACCTGCAAACTTAACTTTCAGTTTAGTTATTTGATGACCTTTCAGTGTGAATCCTTGATAAACACATAAAGGCAGACAGAGCCAACAAAGGTTCTTCTTCCAAGAATGAGATCTTCATTGATGCCTTCCCACAAGGCTGATCTGATCACTCCACTAGTAAATAATTGTGTTTCAAGTGGCTCAGCTATTTTAAAATCCAGTTAACTAAGGCATAATTTGGCCCACACTTTTCTGTCTTACTTTTAAGAATGCCAGAGTAAAAGCATTTCCAAAGAGAAGGAAAGAAGATGTCTTCCAAAATAAAAAAGTCTTGGTCAAACAACATCCATGGCATCCTTAGTAGTTTGGTAATGCAGGCATAAAAGAAAAGCTATTTGTCTTGATTTTTCCTCAGGGGTGTCTTGTTGGCTCCATGCCTTTCACACACAGTTTAGAGTCCATTCTAGAGGTTCATGGGAGATTTATGTCAAGTTTAACTTGGAGAAGTCTAAATCTCTCCCCTTTGAAAATGAGGACATTTCCATGTCTCAGGAAAATACAGTCTTCTATTGTCTGTATTTCTCACGGATCTCCATGGGTATTTGTTTCCTTGGCCATGGCCATGAGGTCCTAGTATTTGCTCCTCTGGCCTGGACCACTGATGTTCTCAACAAGGCCAAGGCCTTTCCTAATCTCAGTATTTGTTTTGGCTTCCATTTCTTCCCAAGCATCCTGCCCTTTTCAGTTTGATGACTGTTTCCCTTGATAGGAAAGAGCAAACGATATAGGAATAGAGTTGTTGGATTTGCCTGGGTTGTCTGTAGGGTTAGCCCAATGCTGCCTTCTTGTTCTTCTTGCCTAGAGCTTATCTAAAGGCCTCTATCCACTGACCTTTGCATTTGCCCAAGGATGAATCCCCATGTTCATCCTTGGCTGTGTAGCTCTCCTTCAAACACCTCTGTGTGTCTCAGGAAGAGCTTGTTGTGGAGTGTTCTGTGTCATACTGCTGACTTCTTAGGTGTCTCCCTCGCTTTTTCTTTACTGGGATCGTTGTTGGTCATTCACCATCTGGGATTTCCTCATTATCTTCTCTTAAGATGGTCTCTCTTTTAGGACAGGTCAAGGGTGCCCAGGCCCTTTTCTCTCAGTGGGAAGGAACTGGCTTTCCTAGTGTCTCAAAAAGCTTTCCGTTCCTTTTCTGTTTGCCATCCATTTGCTGCATATTGCTAAGTACCTTCTGCACAACCATGGAAGAACAGTCTGCCTTTGCAGGTTTCCATATGATATGTTGAGAGCCATGCTGGGACAGGCGAGGTGTATGGGACAGACTGTGGCTGACTCTTCCTGGGAGGGCTGGGAAAGTTTCAGAGGAGACAGCATTTTGGATTTCGAAGGAAGGACGGGACTTCTAAAGAAGGGGCAAGTAGAATCTGCCAACTAGGGCCCCAGCCTGCACCATGACACTGAGCACAGTGTCTTTGGGGATTAACAGGTGAACCAGGCATCAAGAGTGTGGGAGAATTAGGTGAGGAGGTTAGAATTAGGTCAGAATTAGAATTAGGAGGGAAGGTGAGCTGACCAAGTGACCAAGCCAGGGTCACTTTCTGTGCCTCCTTGGGAGGTAAGAGTGAAGACCAGAGCAGTCGTTCCCTTGCTTGCATACCAGCTGTGATGGCTAACACAGTACTCGGTAATCGATTTTATGGTCTGGTTTTGGTCAAGATCTTAAGGAAATTCAGAAGGCCAACCACCAATCCCTGGCATGTCATACAGGGCCGGAAAATGACCTCGTGGCTTCCCTCTGGCCTGGGGGGGGGCTCCCTTTGGGATCCAGCCCTTGCTTCAGTGCCATCACTACATCTCTCTGGCTCCTTTCCCCATACGTAGATAAAAAGCTCACACCTTAACTCCACAGCTCACACCTTAACTCACTTGCATTAGCTCTTTCTCCGGAAAGCCTGCCCTATTTATCCTCTAGTCCTAGCAAGAACATCCTTATCCACTCTTGGTGGTGTCTGGTAGATAGTGTTTGCCTCTTCTCTGAAAAATTCCAAGTTAATTTTCCTCAGGACCACACTCTGGCATAGGGCTATAGAGGGACCCTGAGCCGGGGAGGGTGATGAGTGATGCTGCAAGATAATGCTGGCAACGCACGACTGTGTAGATGATTTTATCTGTGGCATATGCTTCATGGGCATATTGACCTACCTTTGGAGAAGGCTGGGCAAATAATGCACTTTACTCAGCACTCACCAGGTATGGGTCAGGTATGAATCTGAATCCTCAGATCAACTACATTATGAAGGTATTATCATGGCCATTTTACAGAAGAAGAGACTGAGGCCTTGTAAGGCTTAGTGACGACCTCAGTACCACAGATAGTGAATGTCAGACCAGCATTCGAACTTAGCTTTGTCTGTCTTCAGTGCTTGTGTCTTTCTGCCTGGCCCACCTCCAACCCATTCTACCTTTTAAAAGCCAGTCTAATTTGAACACCTAAATTTATGTCTACTCTGATATCAGTTTTGGCTTTGGTAGTTCTTTCTTTCTAATTTTTTAAATTGAAATATAGTTGATTTACAATATTGTGTTAGTTTCAGTTATATGGTAAAGTGATTTGATTATACACACACATATATGTATATATATGGGCTTCCAGGTGGCGCCAGTGGTAAAGAACCCACTGCCAATGCAGGACACGCAGGGGATGTGGGTTTGATCCCTGGGTTGGGAAGCTACCCTGGAAGAGGAAACGGAAACCCACTTCAGTATTCTTGCCTGGAGAAGCCCATGGACAGAGAGGCATGTGGGCTATAGTCCATGGGATCGCAAAGAGTTGGACATGACTGAAGAGACTTAGCACAGCACAGCACAACCTCCTGTGGGCCAGCTGTGGCCCTGCCTGCCTCCCGGGGGTTCTGAGGATTAAAGGTGAGCCTGCTGGCTCAGGGCCTGGCAAAACTAGAATGCACTCCTTCCTTCTTTAGGCTCTTGGAAGCCTGCAAATCCACACCAAGAAAGAGGTCTATTCAACTGGGAGCCCCGTTTCCAGCTGGAAAGACTGAAGTTCTGCTGGCAGCCTTAGATTCCTTCTAGGGTGGATCCTGTAGGGGCGGGAGCACGACCTCTTGATGCCAAAATCACTCCTCCACCCCCTGCTCCCCTGGCCTGGGACAGGGGTGCTGGAGACAGCTACATCTGTTTCTGCAGGAGCTGAGCCAAGTGCAGACTCACGTGTCTGACACCAGTGTCGTCCTCTCCATGGACAACAACCGCAACCTCGACCTGGACAGCATCATCGCTGAGGTGAAGGCCCAGTATGAGCAGATTGCCCAGAGGAGCAGGGCTGAGGCTGAGTCCTGGTACCAGACCAAGGTGAGAGAATGGTTGGCTCAGGGGTGTGGGTTGGACCTGTACCCAGACCTTCCCCCTTGGTGAGAGGCTCCTTGGAGGCTGGGACCAGACACATCCAGCCTACTCATCCAGCTGTGAGGTGGGTCCAGGGGCCAGCAGTTACCCAGGTGGGCCTGGAATGATTTGATAGCTCACTGCCATTTCTTTGGTCTCCAGTATGAGGAACTGCAGGTGACCGCTGGGAAGCATGGGGACAACCTGAGGGACACCAAGAATGAGATCGCTGAGCTCACCCGTAGTGTGCAGAGGCTGCAGGGGGAGGCAGATGCAGTCAAGAAGCAGGTGAGCCTCTGGTGGGGGCCTGAGGGTCAGGCCTGGGTGTTGGCAGAGGTGTGCTCAGGGGTGAGGCCTGTTCTTCTCCTTATGGATGGGATACACTCAAACGCTGGACCAATAAGATGAAGCAGCTCCTCTTACAGGAGAGGAAACTGAGGCTCAGAGAGGGATAGGGACTTGCCCAAGATCACACAGCATATTAGTGGTAGAGTAGCCCCCTCCAAGAAGATTGATCCCATCTCCAGAAGGTCAGAGCAGGAGTCTCAGCATTCAAGAGTCCGGGTCCCAGTTGCTGACTTCAAGGCATAGGCTTCTCCTAAGAGCAGAATGAAGCATTTGGTTAATGGTGAGCTTGTATGATTTATTTTATCTCTTTTGTGGCACTGAGGTGAGTTGCAGCAGGAAGGTTTTGTTTTGTTTTTTAAAGATTTCTTTCTTTCTTTTATTTTTTGACTGTGTTGGGTCTTTGTTGCTGCATTCGGGATTTCTCCAATGGGATTTCTCACTACTCTCATGGTAGTGAGCAGGGACTACTCTTCATTGCGGTGCATGGGCTTCTCATTGCGGTGGCTTCCCTTGTTGTGGAGCATGGGTTCTAGAGTGCTCAGGCTCGGTAGTTGTGGCACATGGGCTTAGCTGTTCCTCAGCATGTGTGATTTTCCCAGACCGGGGATCAAACCCATGTCCTCTGCATTGCAAGGCAGACTCTTAACCACTGAACCACCAGGAAAGCCTCCAGGAGGGTCTTAAGATGAGACTTCAGGAAGAACTTTCCCAGTGGGGCTCCATGATCTTGTTTGTATAGTATCACCTCCTTTCTCAGAGGAATATTTCTCTTTTCCTTCATTCTCAGTTGGTTGGGGCGGCAGTCAGGGGAGCTGGGGATGGTGATGTCTGGTTTAAGGGCAGAGAGATGGATGTAATGACCCTGGAGCATGTGCCCAATACCTCTCATGCCCTGGGCAGTGCCAGCAGCTGCAGACTGCCATCGCGGATGCGGAACAGCGCGGGGATCTGGCCTTAAAAGATGCTCAGAAGAAACTTGGGGACCTGGATGCTGCCCTGAATCAGGCCAAGGAGGACCTGGCTCGGCTGCTGCGTGACTACCAGGCGCTCATGAACGTCAAGCTGGCCCTGGACGTGGAAATTGCTACCTACCGCAAGCTGCTGGAGAGTGAGGAGAGCAGGTGCGTGCGCACCCCCCCCCCTTTCCCGTCCTGATTCTGAGGGCTCCCAGCCCTGCCCTGTGGGAGATCCCATGTAGTTGGTTCTTGTGCCAAGGGTAGGAGGGTAAGGGAGCAACCATGGAGCTGGGCTCGTAACTCATCACCTGAGACTCTCCTGCTTGTGTTCAGCACCTCACTGTGTGTCTCCTTGGCTGGCACTGCCATCAGTGATCCTGATGGTGTTTGGCAGGCCAACAGGGGACAGGGTTTTCTTTTCCAACCCCAGATTCTGACCCTAGCAGAAACTTTGAAAAAAAATTCATCATCTCTGTTCTTGTGGAAGGCATGAGATGTAGAGAAAGTCACCTTAGCCAGAAAACGGGCAGCTCTGTTGTGAAGTGGGTTTTGTTTCCCATCCCACTGGAGCTGGGGGTGCTGCTTATGGAGCAAGTGTTGGGGGAGGAGAGGGCAGAAGAAGGATGAAGCTGCCTGGCCTACTGAATCTCTGCTTTCTCTGCTACGCTGGCTTTAGGATCTGGCAGAAAGGTGCCTGGCCCAGGGCAGCCCTGGGCCAAGCTGGGTCCCCTGATTTTGTCATGTGGCCTCGGCTCCTGAGAGTCTCAAAGCCCACTGAGTTGATCTATTGTAAAGACAGTGAGAGGGAGAGAGAGAGTTTTTACTTGGGCTCCTGGGACCACTGATCCTTCACCTGGCCTGTCTGTTTCCCCCAGGATGTCTGGAGAATGTCCCAGTGCTGTCAGCATTTGTGAGTATTTTGCCACCCCGGGCCCGGCCCCAGTCATCTGCTCAGTCCTTTCAATCTGTCCTTGAGCCCTGGAGACAGCTTCGGGGGGTCCCAGAGAATGAGCTCCCTGCCCCCAGTTTCCCAGGGCACCACTGTCTGAGTTCATTCCCATCACTCACTGATGTCTGGAAGCCCTGGATCCTCTCCTGACACGGCTGCCCCACCTCACTGAGACCCTTTCTCTTGCAGCGGTGACGGGCAACTCCACCACTGTGTGCGGAGGCGGCGCGGCTGGCTTCGGGGGTGGCATCTCCCTGGGTGGGGGTGGGGGTGGTGGCGCCAGCAAGGGCAGATTCAGCACAAATGTGGGCTACAGCACTGTCAAGGGAGGGCCTGTCTCTGGGGGCACCTCCATCCTGCGGAAGACCACCACGGTCAAGACGTCCAGCCGGAGGTATTAGCTGCTGTCTTGCAAGCCAGGGCCCCTGCGCTTCTCTCTCCACTCCCCATCCTCAAGAGCAGGAATAGCCCCAGGACCACTGACCCAGGGTACAGGCATGCCAGACGGTGCATGGGATCTGCATTTTGTAAAGGGCTCAAATCTATTCAGGTTTTCTCCTTAGTTCTGCAGCAGGATGGGAGGGGTGGTTAAGGCCACCAGTTTGCAGGATGTGTTTGGATGATTCGGGGATGATATTTTGACCATGGAGAGGAGGTTGGATTCCCCCAGGCCATCTCGGCTTCTCTCACCTCTTCTGCTTGTCTGCTCTGGGCTCAGGTCAGGCTGAGAAAGGATAAAGGAAAGTCAGAAGTTGGTCTCCCGTCTCCCACAAGACCACTCCCTCCCTGAATCTCCCTACGTCCCCCTCCCCTGTCTGTGCTGTGATGTATCTCAATAAATGGCAATTGCAGCTAGCTGTTTGGGGCTTGTCTGTCCTGCTCAGAGAACAGAAACTGTCAGCTGATTAACTCAGTGATGGTTAGGCAGCAACAACCACATGCTCACAGTATCTCAATCATGCTAAAAGCACATTAGTTCAGTACCATCACCACTGTAGGCTTTGGCTCTTACTTTCCTCCTGGAGAAAGCTGGAGGGACTGTATAAGTAGCTTCCAGCAGGACCCAGCTCCCAGCAGCTGTCTATTGCCCAGCCACTTCCCTAATGCTACTGTGCCCCCTGCCAACTCTGCGGGGCAGGCAGCATGTGTTCAGTGGAGAGGTCTTGGGCTTCACAATAGGTTTAACTCCCGAAGCTACCACTTACTAGCTGTGTGACCTTGGGCAAATTACTTAGCTTCTTTGGGCCTCACTTTCCTCCTTTGTAAGGGGGCAACAAAGGATGAGAGAGAGGATGGTTGGACGGCGTCACTGACTCGATGGCCATGAGTTTGAGCAAGCTCTGGGAGTTGGTGATGGATAGGGAAGCCTGGCAGTCCATGGGGTCTCAGAGTCGGACGTGACTGAGTGACTGAACTTCCTCCTTTGTCAGAACGGGTGTGATGGAAACGTGTGTAAAGCATCGGCTTAGAAGAGCCCTGGCAGGAACTACTTCCCTTAGCTTGGGCTTCTGTTTCCCAGCTCACCCTCTTGGAGTGAGATGATCTCTCTTTCAGCCCTCACATCCAGTCATCCATAACAATCCACATTTCCCTGCCAATAACAGAATATATATTGTTCTCAAGTGCACGTGAAGCATTTTCTGGGATAAATCTTGTGTTTGGCCACAAATTAATCTTGGGAGGCAGCTATGCTCACCACTGTATCACTGATGCTGCACATAAAACAAGTCTTAGCAAATTCAAGAAGACTTAAATAATATAAAATGTCTTTGCTGACCACAATAGTATGAAACTAGAAACCAGTAACAGAAGGAAAAGTGGAAAATTCATGAATATGTGGCAATTAAACAGTACACTCCAGAGAACAACTCCAGTAACCAATAGATCAAAGAAGAAATTTAAAAATGGAGATAAAAAAGTATCTGGAGGCAAATGAAAATGGAAACACAACATACCAAAACTTATGAGATGCAGCAGTTCTAAGAGGGAAATTGATAGCTATAAACACATGTATTGAGAAAATAGAAGGAACCCAAATAAACACCTTAACTTAAAACCTCAGGGAACTAGAAAAAGAACAGAGTAAGTCCACATTTGGAAGAAGGAAAGAAAGAATAAAGATTAGAGCAGAAGTAAATTAAATAGGAAACAGGAAAATAATAGAAAAGACAAAACCCCCTAAGAGTTGGATCTTTGAAGGTAAACAAAATTGACAACCTTTAGCTAGACTAACCAAGGAAAACAGAGAAGGCCCAAATCAATGAAATCATTAAAGAAAGAGGAGACATCACAACTGATACCACAAAAATACATAGGATCTGACTTCCTGGTGGAACAGTGTGTAAGAATCTGCCTGCCAATGCAGGGGACATGGGTTCAGTCCCTGGTCTGGGTAGATTCCACATGCTGCAGGGCAACTAAGCCTGTGTGCCACAACTACTGAGCCTACATGCTGCAACTTTTGAAGCCTGTGTGTCTAGAGCCTGTGCTCAACAAGAGACACCATTGCAATGAGAAGCTCACACACCACAATGAAGAGTAGCCCCCGCTTATTACAACTTGATAAATCCCGTGCAAAGCAATGAAGACCCAGTTCGGTCAAAAATAAGTAAATAAAATTATAAAAAAATACATAGGATTATAAGAGGTTGTTATGAACAACTATATGCCAATAAACTAGACAGCCTAGAAGAAAGGGATAACTTCTTGGATATATATCACCTACTAAGACTGAATCAGGAACAAACTGGAAATCTGAACCGATCAATTACCAGTAAGGATATTGAATCAGTAATTAAATGTCTCCCAACAAGGAAAATTGCAGGACCAGATGGCTTCATTAGTAAATTTTTTACCAAATATTAAAGGAGAATTAATGCCAACCCTTCTCAAACTTCTCCAAACCCCAAAGAGAAGGGAAAACTCCCAAACTCATTGCATGGAATTAGCATCAAAGCCAGATAAGCACAATACAAGGAAAGAAAACTACAGACCAATATCCCTGATGACTATAGATACAAAAAAATTCCCAACAGAATACTGGAAAACTGAATTCCACAGCACATTAAAAGGACACTACACCATGATCAAGTGGGATTCATCCCTGGGATGCAAGATTGGCTCAACATACACAAATCAGCAAGTGTGATACATTAACAGAATAAAAAATAAAAACATCATATGATCATCTCAACGTGTGTGCTTCGTGCTAAGCCTCTTCGGTCATGCCTGACTCTTTGCGACCCTATGGACTGTAGCCCGCCAGGCTCCTTCGTCCATGGGATTCTCCAGGCAAGAATACTGGAGTGCACTACCATGCCCTCCTCCAGGGAATCTTTCTGACCCAGGGATCTTCATCATATGAATACATGCAGAAAAAGCATTTGAAGGAATTCAACACCCACTCATGATAAGAATTATCAACAAACTAGGTATAGAAGGAACATACCTCAACATAATAAAAACCATTTATCACAAGCCCACAGCTAACATCACACTTCAAGGTAAAAGGTCACAAGCTTTTACTCCAAAATCAGGAACAATGCAAGGGTGCTCACTCTCACAATTCCAATTCAGCTAACTGGAAGTGGTAATCAGATATTAAAAAAAAATTGAAGCATAGTTAATTTACAGTGCTGTGTCAATTTCAAGTGTACAGCAAAGTGATTCAGTTATACATATACACATATGTATATATCTTAACAGAGAAACAATTTTATTGAAATTATATTTCACTTCAATTCAGTTTAGTCGCTCAGTTGTGTCCGACTCTTTGCGACCCAATGGACTGTAGCACGCCAGGCTTCCCTGTCTATCACCAGCTCTCGGAGCTTGTTCAAACTTATGCCCATCGAGTCAGTGATGCCATCAAGCCATCTTACTTTCTGTCGTCCCCTTCTCCTGCCTTCGATCTTTTCCAGCATCAGGGTCTTTTCCAATGAGTCAGTTCTTTGCATCAAGTGGCCAAAGTACTGGAGTTTCAGCTTCAGCATCAGTCCTTCCAGTGAATATTCAGGACTGATTTCCTTTAGGATTGACAGTCTCTGCCATCAGGAAGCTTCCATAATAAGCCTCTTATCCTTATCCATCAGAGGGCAGACAGAATGAAAACCACAATCACAGAAAACTAATCAAACTGATCACATGGACTACAGCCGTGTCTAACTCAATGAAACTATGAGCCATGCTCATAGGAGGGTCATGGTGGAGACTTCTGACAAAATGTGGTCTACTGGAGAAGAGAATGGCAAACCACTTCAGTATTCTTGCCTTGAGAACCCCATGAACAATATGAAAAGGCAAAAAGATATGAAATTATATTTAGGACTTAAGAAATAGAAACAGTTTCATTATATAACAAAACTCAAAAATTATACTATGGGCCAGGAAGATCCACTAAGGACAATGTATTATGTTACTTAGAAATACTTGTGTAAGTCTGGGAATGGCCCAGACACAGGTTTCCAGGCTGAATTTCTGGAGACTCAGGACCCCAGGGGCTGCTCTCAAGCAGTCTGGGAGAGGCCAGCAGGCAAGAAGATTCATAGTTCTCTCCTCTGCACCAGTCAGAGCATCTCCTCTTTTAGCTGTTTTACAAATGGGGCTGTGCATTTGTTTTTGATGACAAGAATGGTTTTGCTGCCAGAACATGTTGGGTTACCCCTGCTGACACATGCCCGGGGGGCGTGGGAGACCAGAAATGCTCTCTGTCCCTGGGAAAGGGGAGACTTTGTGCACAGACCCCGCTTCCCTATTCTAAGGGCTCCCCACCCTCTCTCTGCCCTCACTGTCCCCGTTCCGAAATGCTGACTGGTCCTTTCTGTAGAATTTTTGATCCCCAAGTTGGCTCTGGCTCCCCATGGAGTGACTCAGGGGTGGCTGAGGCTGGGTGACTGAACAGGGTGAGGGCACCAACCTGGTCAGGGCTGGGGGGGGGGTGCTTTCCCACACCACACACCAGGTTTGGGGCTAAGAGTAAAAGACTTGGGATCCCGGTAATCCCAGGACTGAATGCCAGGGCTTGCCTCCCTCACCCACAAAGCCCCAGGCAAACACACCCTCCGCTCTGCTCCACACCCCTGTCAGCTGTTCATCCCTCTTTGACAAGATGGGGAACGGCTGCCAGTTGAGGAAGTGTCACAAGGACAAGAGTGGAAGCGTGGAGGTGGGGCAGGGAACCAGATTTTAGCTGTTGCTGCCAGGTAGAGTCACCTGGTCTCGTTTCCTGCCTCTGGCCCAGGGCTGCAGGAGGCATCCTTCCCTTTTTCATGGATGGAAACTCTTCTTTGCCTTTCTCCCTTGGGGGAGAGGGCTCTCTTGTACACTGGGAGCATGCTGCCTTGAGTTTTTCAGGCTATAGTCTGAGGATTTTGCGAACTTCTGGGAATTCTGACTTTATAATGAGCCACAGAATAGGGCTCTAGTCTACAACTTCCTTTCTGTTTGGTTTGGGTTTATTGTAGGATTTGTCATTTAGCTAATTTGGACTTAGTTGGACACAGAATTGGCCCCCCCACGACAGGGTCCTGTCTTATTGGGTAGTTGTAAGGACAGGGCCACATGATCCGATCAACATTCCTTGGCAAAATCAAGGACGGAACACTTAGCGTGCTGGCAGAGACCCTGTGACTGCTCTGGTGGACCACAAGCTATGGGTCAAAGTTCCCATATAATTGTTTTTCTTGCAGTTTCTGATATAAACCGTTGGGGTGTAGAGATCAAGTTCACAAGCTTTGAAGTTAGATGGACAGGACTGGCCACCTACTTCCACCACTTCCTAGCTGTGTGATCTTAGTCAGATTATATAACTTCTCTCAACCTTGGTTGTCTGTGGCTCTAAACAGCCTGGCGACCCCCTTTTGCTGGGTTGTTGTGATGAAGGGAATTATTATAAGAAAAGCACTCAGCGTCCAGTGCATGATGGCAGTTCTCTGGGAGAGTAACTGCTACCTGGAAAGCCAGGCAGCCTTTCCCTCATCTTTCTGTTTGAGGGATGATCTCTGCCTCAACTTAGGGTTTGCATGACAAGAAGTACCTCCATTGAGGATCCATGGTTTGGGTGTCTCACGGGCACAAAATAAGATTGATTATATATTATAGATTATTTCCCTTAAAGTCCCTTCCACCTCTGTTGGCTTTCTGTTTTAGACACACCTTAAGGACACAGAATTTTCTTGTATTGGGGTGTCAGAGCTATAGACTATAAGACACAATGGACACATCACAAGAGACCATGGGGATATATCTCTGGGGAGGAAAACCCTCCTCCTAGCCTACAAAAGTCCTCATCAACCCCTAGAGGCAGCCAGGAAGATGGAACCATGAGTGGGAGGTGAGGCAGGTGAGGGGTCTGAGCCCTGGGTACTGCCCCTTCCCGCCCTTGGGGCAGAAAAGCAGACAATCAGACCTTGGCTTCCCTAGAGGGTGGCTCCAGGTGTTCCCCTGCTCCTTCAGTTACAGCCTCAGCCATGCCCACTAGGGTGGAAATCAGTAAACCCTGGGATACTTGCACCCTCAGAGCCCCCTCAGAGAAGGCAATGGCAACCCACTCCAGTACTCTTGCCTGGAAAGTCCCATGGATGGAGGAGCCTGGTAGGCTGCAGTCCATGGTGTCGCTAAGAGTTGGACATGACTGAGCAGCTTCACTTTCACGCATTGGAGAAGGAAATGGCAACCCACTCCAGTGTTTTTGCCTGGAGAATCCCAGGGACTGGGGAGCCTTGTGGGCTTCTGTCTATGCGGTCGCACAGAGTCGCACACGACTGAAGCAACTTAGCAGCAGCAGCAGAGCCCCCTTGACCTGAACTGTTGGTTCAAGGCTTGCTCAGGTGCTCAATTCTGGATTGACTGTGGTACAAATTAGACAAACTGACTTTATATCAGGCAGGATGGTATGGGTGAGAGGCCAGGGAGGGCAGAGCCTTTGGGAATAGACTGATGTCATTTGGGGTCGTAGCTCCACCACTGTGTGACCCTGGGGGCTACTTCTTCTCCCCAGGGTCTTCCAAGTCATCATTTGTAAGTACAGTTGTGATGCTGATTACAGAGAGTTTCTAGGAAGATTACATGATCACATGTATGTAAAGCAGTCAGCGGAGAGCCTGGCACAAAGCTGGCACTCCATAAATACTAATTGAGAGGGTGAAAGGATGTCCAACCTTGACCCTCACAGGAGATGGTCCTGGCTCTAGAGTGCTCACCTACTATAGATGGATGGACCATGGCTCGGGCTTTCTCCAGCGGACTTTTGATGGAGCTCTGGTGGGGGGGGGGTGTCTCCTATCCTCCCTGCCATAGCCCTTCCATCCACTCATTTACTTAGAGGCCTTCTGGGCAGGTGCACAGAGAGCCCAGCAAAGGCAGAGGTAGATGGGGACAGAGAGTGAGGTGTGGATGAGAAATAGAGAAAGAGGAGGGCAGGGAGAGGCGATGAGGGTGGGGGTGGGGAGAGAGGAGCTGGCTGGAGGAGAGAGCTCCCAGCCAGTCCAGTCTTCTGCAGCCTGGTTCCCATGACCTGGATCCATGCAGCACCTTTGCATCCCACGGGCCTCCTCAGTCTCTTTGCATGGAAGGGCTGCTCATTTTTTTTTAAAAATTATTTTTGGCTGCGCCGGGTCTGCATTCCTGTGAGGAATTCTCTAGTTGCAGCAAGTGGGGGCTACTCTTCGTTGCAGTGTGAGGGTTTCTCATTGCGGTGGCTTCTCTTGTTGTGGAGCCTGGGCTCTAGAGCCCAAGCTCAGTAGTTGTGGCACACAGGCTTAGTTGCTTTGTGGCACGTGGGATTATCTTGGACCAGGGATCAAACCCTTGTCCTCTGCACTGGCAGGCAGATTCTTAGCCTCTGGACCTCCAGGGAAGTCTAGGGCTGCTCGTTTTTGCAGTGGCCAGCTTTCATTTGGTCAGGGTCAGCTCGGGCCTGTGGGAATCATGCATGCCCTCTTCACTGCCATCCCCCAGTTTCGGGATAGCAGTCTCATTAGGGATTGAGAGGAGAGATGAAGATTCATCTGATTTCTCCTCAAAAGTGGCAACACTGAAGCCTGGGCAGGATGTAAGAATGAATTTTCTCCTGACCTACTGTGTACCAGACGCTGTAGGTACATCATCTCATGATCTATGAGATCATCTATGATCAATGGGTTCTGAGAGGTTAGGTGACCTGCCCAAGATTGCACAGCCAGTTAGTAGCACCAGGTGGGATTTGAACACAGATCCATTGCACTCAGTGGGAAAGACTTTAAGTTCGAGCTTAAAACTAGGGTACTGTACCTGAAAACATTGCTCTGAGAAGGGGCTCATAGGTTTCATTATTCTGCCAAAGGGATTCCCCATCACTCCATTGTTCCAGCTCCTGCCCCGAATGCTGAGACTGTTATGGGAAAACAGGACATGGCCTGTGTGGGTGAGCCAAGCAAACAACTGGGCAGCAAATGGAGTGGTGCGGCACACACAGTCAGGACCTAGCCTGGAGAATGCTGACCTAGAATCTGGTAAATGCAGGCTGGAGTCCCAAGAAGGAATGTAAGTCCTGAGAGCCCAAGGCAGAGTCACCTGTATTTTGCCTCCAGATCCATGCATGGCAGATAGTAGGTTTTCAGTAACATGTATGAAGTCAAGCTGAGTCTTTTAAAAAACTATTTATTTTTGGCTGCCTTGGGTCTTTGTTGCTGTGCACAGGCTTTCTCTAACTACAGAGAGCTGGGGCCACTCTTTGTTGGGGTGCACGGGCTTCTCATTGCAGTGGCTTCTCTTGTTGCAGAGCATGGGCTCTAGGGCATGTTCGCTTCAGTAGTTTCAGTGAGTGGACTCGAGAGCGCAGGCTCAGTAATTGTGATGCCCAGGCTTGTAGTCTGGTGGCATGAAGAATCTCCCTGGACCAGGGATCGAACCCGTGTCCCATGCATTGGCAGGTGGATTCTTAACCACTGTACCACCAAGGAAGTCCCAAGCTGAGTCCTGATCTACAGGCCTGGAAGTCTAGAAGGCTGGACTATGGATTTCCCCTTTTGTATGTATGTGTGTATGTGTGTGTGTGTGTGTGTGTGTGTGTATGTATGTGTGTGTGTGTTAGTTGCTTAGTTGTGTCTGCCTCTGTGTGACCCCATGGACTGTAGCCCACCAGGCTTCTCTGTCCATGGGATTCTCCAGGCGAGAATACTGGAGTGTATTTCCATGCCCTCCTCCAGGGGATCTTCCTGACTCAGGGGTTGATCCTGGGTCTCCTGCATTGCAGGTGGACTCTTTACCATCTGAGACACCGGGGACTCCCTTTTTGGGGCCAAGTGCACACAGAGGTATAGTAATGCTAGTGACAAATATACGTGCAGTCTCTGACAGGTCACAAAGCCCTCACTCCTTGTAATCTCAGGATCTTGACAGAAGGTGAAGGCAAATATTTGTATTATGTCCAATTTATGGGTGAAGCAACTGAGCACCAGAGAATGACTAGCTGCAGGTTTGCAAAGCGTGCATTTGAAGTCAATCTCTCTGGTTCCAAATTCTGTGGAGTGAGCGACAGAGCGACGGTTGTCTTGTCTGGAGAAGGGAGGCCCCTGGAGGCTGGTGAGATTAGAGTGCAGTGTCGGGTGAAGGGGTGGTTGTGACCCAGGAGGCCCTGGGACACTGGTTCAGCTTCTCGGGGAAGAGTGTGCCCTCCGAATGACTTTTGTAGGTGTGTTTGTGACAAGTTCAGCAGATGCAAGAAGGATGGACCGGTGCCAAAGGCCAAGCCCAGAGATGTTTCAGATTTTTCCCTTTATGCCCCTGCAACCAAGCCCTGCTCTCCAGCACATATAAGCGACCCAGGCTGGTGCTGCTGCAGTCAGTGACCTGGCCCCTCTTGCTTCTCCCTGACAACTCTGACCTTGCTCCTCTCTCTCCAGTCATGATCGCCAGACAGCAGGGCATCCGAGGCGGGTCCCGTGGCTTTAGCTGCGGCTCGGCCATCGTAGGTGGGGTCAAGAAGGCTGCTTTCAGCTCGGCCTCCATGTCTGGGGGTGCAGGCCGCTGCTCCTCTGGGGGCTTTGGCAGCAGAAGCCTCTACAACCTCGGGGGGAACAAGAGCATCTCCATCAGCATGGCCGGATGCCGGCAGGGTGCTGGCTTCGGGGCTGCAGGTGGCTTTGGGGCTGCTGGAGGTTTTGGGGCTGCTGGAGGTTTCGGCTCTGGTTTTGGTGCCGGCGGCTTTGGCGGTGGATTCGGGGGCTCCTTTGGTGGACGAGGTGGTGCTGGCTTCCCGGTCTGCCCTGCTGGAGGGATTCAGGAAGTCACCATCAACCAGAGCCTGCTGACCCCACTCCATGTGGAGATCGACCCTGAGATCCAGAAGGTCCGGACTGAGGAGCGTGAGCAGATCAAGCTCCTCAACAACAAGTTTGCCTCCTTCATTGACAAGGTGAGCAGCTGCTTGGTCAGATAAGGTGGTAGAAGCCAGGGTTTCGGAGTCCCAGTATCTCATACCTAAGCCTGCTGCAGACTTGGGAAACCTGTGAATTTCTCTGGGCCTCTGTTTCCTATGCAGTTAAGGAGAACCATTACTCTTTCTTTTTTGTCCTGTGGCTGGTGGGAAAATAGGCTGCTCGAAGCAGTTCAATGTTTGAATTTCCCTAAGTTTGCTATGTGCTTCTGGGCAAATCATTCAACTTTTCTGGGCCCAGTCACCCCAGCTATAAAGTGGGCTCATCATTTCTCTGCTTTTTCTCTAGATTTGGGTTTCAGAAATAACATGGTCAATAATTTAATAGTTCATTCTAGTTAATACGATTGCTTAACTACTAGCACTTCCGAATTTGGAGCAGGAGAAAACCAGGCTGCTTTCTCAAATGAGAAAGGGACTGACTCCAGGGGCAGATTCCAGGTCCCATGAGGACCTCAGAAGGTCATTGCATTCATCCCCCTGACTCTGGGCAAAATTATTCATTTTGGGGTCTTTTTGAAGAGGAGGTGGGCTGAATCTCTCCCTTTCCTTTTTTTTTTTGGTAGTCTACTTTCCTTCTCCATGCTAGGTCTAGAGGTTCAAGACTTTTATGCTGTATGCTATGTTTATGTGTGATGGATGATAGCAAACAGATTAGTTCCAGAGAGTCATTAATCCAAAGATGAATGACTGAATGGATGGGTGTAGCACATTTGGCCCAGGTTGCCCTGGTTCTCTGTGCAATGAGGTCTTAGTTCTCTTAGATGAATGGGGCAAGAATGAATGATCTTGGAATAGATTGAATGGCAATATTTTTTCTTGCTAGCTTGAAGAAATCCCTAGTAGCTTAAAAGGGCTTCATAGTGACTCTATGACCTACAGGTGTAAAAGTAAGACTGACAGTTGGGTGCTTACTTGTCTTCTCTCCCATCATCGGTTTAAGTTCAAATTATGATCAGCCACTCTTGTCTGCTTTCTTTTCTATTCTGAGGCACATAAAGTGGAAATGTCACGCTACACCTTGGTTTATCTGGCTAGATCTCTTCCTAGAGGGAAGGTTCAGGGAAGTTCCCTTGCAGGACTGAGTCTATGAGACTCAGAATATGTCTAGGGCTTGATCTTAAACATTTTATATTCCATTGTTCACAGGTTCACAGGGACACATGAGGTCCATTTATAGGAAAGCTTGTTTAAAAACATCTTCAGTGCGTTTATCATTCCTTTGCCTTGGGTGAGGTCACACTGAATGCAATAGCCCCTAGGCTGTGGTTGTACTTCCTGAATTTGTTTTATTATTTCATAGAAGTTCAGCGTTCTTTTCAGCAACTCTTCCTAGGGCTTCTGGACCCCTGTGGTCCAGTTGTTCTTGCTGCACAGTCAGGCCCCGATGCGTGGGCTCTGCTCTGTTCTTCCCAACACACGTGGCCTACTTGCTTCTGTGGGGGGGTCTGCCAAATTGACTCCAGCAGATGGTGCCTGAAGCTGTAAGGCGGTGGCCCTACTCTGATGGCTCTTGGGCTGCCTGGATGGCTTGGATTGACTGGGTTGGTGTGCCCAGCTCTTCTGCCAGAGTTTCAGGCTCTCATTTGTCGGTTGGTGCCTTTGTTAAATACAGGTGCGGTTCTTAGAGCAGCAGAACAAGGTGCTAGAAACCAAATGGAAACTCCTCCAGCAGCAGACGACTACCACATCTGTCAAAAACCTCGAGCCCTTCTTTGAGGCCTACCTCCATGCCCTGAGGAAGCAGGTGGATACCTTAGCCAACGACAAGGGACGCCTGCAGTCTGAGCTGAAGATCATGCAGGACACTGTGGAGGACTACAAGACCAAGTATGCAGGGAGCGAGTGCCATCCAACAAATCTGAGTGTGCCTTGGGCCCGGGGCTCCTCTTCAGTCATTTAGAATCCCAGGCTCAGGAGAGACCCCGAAGAGTCAGGGATGACCCCCAGTCTGCTCTCCTGCATCTGCCTGGTCACTTTTTAAAATAGGATGATGTCTAGTAACTCTAAGTTGCCCCAAACAGAAAATGAGTGATAGATTCAGGGAGCTGGGCTTGGCATATACCAAACAGGTGAAAAGTAACACAGCAGGGTGAGAAAAACACAGGCTGTAAAGAGAGATGGACCTGCTTGGCATACTGATTCCTCCACTTACTAAGCTGTGTGATCTTGGTTGACTTGCTTAACCTCTCTGAATCTTAGTTTTCTTCATCTTTATTATTATTATCTACTGGCAGCACTGTGCAGACTGTGGGATCTTAGTTCCCTGATCTGGGATCAAACCCATGCCCCCTGCAGAGGGAGTGCAGAATCTTAACCAGTATGCCCATTATGGGATGAAACTGAGAAAAATACCAGCTCCCTCTCTTAATTCACTCTCATACCAAAGAAGAACAACTGGAGCATTGGCAACTCTCCTAAGAATTTAGTCCACCTAATGGCCAAAGAACAGCCCTTCTATTCAAATAAAATCAACCAGATCATGCTTGTTCTCCTCCTTACATCTTTTCTCTTTCAAACAGTCTTTTTAAAATTTGGCTTCACTCCTCTGAATAAACTAGGATCTAGACTGGTATCTCAAACAATTCATTACTCAGCAAATGTAAATGAAATTAATATCTGCATGAACATGGAAAAATGTAGCCAATTAGATGGAGTTTTTCAAATAGATGTTTGGAAACCAGCAGGAAAGAGTGAGAAACACTAGCTCCCTGTGGACCTATTGTCTTTTCTTTCTTATCTTTCCACTCCCAGGTATGAAGATGAAATCAACAAACGCACAGCTGCTGAAAATGACTTTGTGGTCCTCAAGAAGGTGAGGGTTGAAGGAGGGTAGGGATGTGCTCCCAGTTCCCTCAGGAGTGGTCTTTGGCTTGAATCATGGGTTTGGTTCATCCTGAGCTTCTCCCCCCAACCCCACCCTTCCTTGGTACTATCCAGATCTCACTGAACTAGGAATTAAGGCTGTGAAAAAAGCCCATGTGGATAATTAACTTCCATGTCTGCAGGTGGCTTTAGGGGCAGAACAGGCCAAATAAGGTGAGGCCCTCACACCTCACCTGGTGCGACCTTTGTGTATCACACGATGCCCCTGCCCCTCGTTGGAAGGCTTGTACATTGTCTCTCATCCTCCCTTCTCCTCTGCAGGATGTGGATGCTGCCTACATGAACAAGGTGGAGCTGGAGGCCAAGGTGGATGCCCTCAATGATGAGATCAACTTCCTGAGGGTCCTCTATGCTGCGGTGAGGATTCCATCTCCAACCCTCTCCATTCAGGGAAGGCCCCACCTGTGAGGCTGCTGGTTGGAATTGACAGTCCTTTGAAAGGACTCCCACTCCCTTACTTCAAGGCCATGGGTTCTCAGCAAGGTCATGGATAGAAAGGATTGAAGTGAGAGATTCAACTGAAACCAAGAGGTTCTCTAAACCAGAGGTTGTCTTAGATGATTAGATCTAAAGTTTGCTCAGGATAGAAGTGATTGCCATTTAGCATTTCTCCAGTGAGATAGATTATTATCTTCCCTTCCATGCCAACATACTTGAGCCCCCTGACCTGGAGTGACTTGTGGTCCCCAGGGAGCAGGGAAGACTAGAGGCATTGCTCTTCTGTCCTGAGATGTCACCAATCACTTGATTTCTGCATAGAAATTTACCCCTCCTCCTCTTCTGTACACTTTGGGAATGCCAAGTCGGCTCCCATCTGAGCCTGTGGCAGGGCCATTTCCATGATGATGGTGGGCCTCTAGTGTCAGAGATTAGGGAAGACCCTCCCGTAGGCCTGATAGGAGACATTTTCCCTGCAGGAGCTGTCCCAGATGCAGACCCAGGTGAGCGACACATCCGTGGTCCTCTCCATGGACAACAACCGCAACCTGGATCTGGACAGCATCATTGCTGAGGTCCGGGCCCAGTACGAGGAGATTGCCCAGAGGAGCAAGGCCGAGGCCGAGGCCCTGTACCAGACCAAGGTGAGTGCTGGAGTTCTCTCTGGAGTTGAGGGTGGCTTCTGGGGCTCTGCTTTTGATGTTTGTGAGCAAGCCATCATCAGCTCGAGCCCAAGAGAAGTCAGAGGTAAACTGATTCTTCTGGGTGTCACTGATCCTGGTCCGCCTGGAGATTATGTGACCTTTTGTATTACCCCTGCCACCTGTGGCTATTCTTGCTGAGTTCATTGGAGGATAGACCCCAACCAAACAGCCCTGACCCTTGTTTCCCTGGGTCTCAGGTCCAGCAGCTTCAGAACTCAGTGGACCAACATGGAGACAGCCTGAAGAACACCAAGAATGAGATTTCAGAGCTTAACAGGTTGATCCAGAGGCTGCGGGCTGAGATCGAGAACGTCAAGAAGCAGGTAGGTGTCACCTCTACCCAAGAGTCTTACTGCAGGGCCAGGGGCCTAAGACATGTCTCTAGAGTAAACTAACAGACAAGGCATCAGGCTGGAAGATCTTGAGCTGGTCTGCAGGGGGTTTGTAGCTCTTTGCATAAGGAAATGGCAACCCACTCCAGTATTCTTGCCTGGGAAATCCTATGGACAGAGAAGCTGGTGGGCTATAGCCCATGGGGTGGCAAAGTAGGACACGACTTTGTTACTGAAAACGAACAAGTCATACCCAAATCTTTTTAGCAGTAACCTAGTTAACATGATATGACACCTCAGTAAATAAGATTTCTTGGCTCTTTTTCATTGTTTTTTTTCATTTTTGTTGAATCAGTCTGGTGGGAGCATTGGTGGACTCTAGCAGGGGTGAATAAAATGCATGAGTCAGGGAAGGTGGGGAGAAGGACAGACAGAATCCTAACATCCTAAGCCAAGTAAAGTGGCTACAGGAGAGGGGACAGATTTCGAGGTCTTGACAACAGGCCCCTAGTAATTGATGCCTGTCCCGTGCCGTCGTCTTCAGTGCCAGACTCTGCAGGGATCTGTGGCTGATGCAGAGCAGCGTGGGGAGGTGGCCCTAAAAGATGCCTACAGCAAGCGCACAGAGCTAGAGGCCGCCCTGCAGAAGGCCAAGGAGGAGCTGGCCCGTGTGCTGCGAGAGTACCAGGAGCTCCTGAGCGTCAAGCTGGCCCTGGACATCGAGATCGCCACCTACCGCAAGCTGCTGGAGGGCGAGGAGTGCCGGTGAGTGGGGAAGGCAGGGTGGAAACGGGAAATGGAGAGGGTCCAGGGCCGTGGCCAGTCTAGGGCACCTCTGCTGTACCACTTGCTTCAGTGCTGGTGTGTTGCAAACTGGGATGCTGTTACATGACAGGTTCACGTTCAGGCCTCAATTCGACTGCTTAACAAGGGGGAGGGTGCTTGCCACCGGCTTGTTGAACGAAGCGTGGCTCCAGGCTTGCTGAGGTTCACTGCTCTTTCTCTCCCCCACAGAATGTCTGGAGAATGCCAGAGTGCTGTGAGCATCTGTAAGTACTGTCTGCTCCCTGCTGTGGCCATTTGTTTGCCCAGGTTTGGGGTGGGATTCCCGGTACCAGTGCTGTTGGAGTAACCTTGTCCTTGCCTTTTTCCCACAGCTGTGGTTGGTGGCGCTGCCAGTGCAGGAGGGCTCAGTGGAGGGTTAGGAGGCAGCTCTGGATTTGGCCTGGGCTCTGGCTCCTGCTCAGGAGGCCTTGGTGGAGGGTTAGGAGGCAGCTCTGGATTTGGCCTGGGCTCTGGGTCCGGAGGTGGCTTTGGATTCGGTGGTGGCATCGGTGGCAGTTCCAGCGGCAAGATCATCTCTACCACCACCCTGACCAAGAAATCCTTCCGATAAAGGAGATGGGGGCCCTGCAGCCCTCTGCGGCCAGCCACCCAGCCCTGGTGTCTCTGCTTCCTTCACCCCACCTCCACTCTCCTTTCCTGGGGCTCGTCTGACCAGTGTCACCTCAGTGCCAGGACGTGGACTCTGCTCTCTTAGAGTTTGGTAGCTTCTTCCTGATTTGGGCCTGTGATCCAGCTGGAATGGGAGAGGTGTCGACTGACTCTTTACCTCCCATGGACAGAGGAGAATCCAACCAGGTGCTTATCTCCAGGATTATCAGGGTCATGTGTCCCCTCCCAGCCCAACGCTGCCTCCTACCAGATCCTGCATCTCCCTCTACATCAGGACCAAACTCCTTCTCCATCACTGGCAGCAACCGACCCTGCAAGGTCGGGACAAGAATCCCTGAATACACTGTCCACTCTTCTTCTTCCCTTTAGCCATCTTCGGGTGAATCTTCAATAAAATGCCTTTGTCATTCATCTTTGAGCAGTTGTGTTGTTCCTTGGGAGAAGTCCCCAGAATTCTGGTGAAAGGGAAAGAGGCCAGGGCCCAAGGGATCTGTCTGTCCCTATTAAGGTCATCTACTAATATCTCAGATCTCTTCTCTTAAATTGCCCAGATTATTGGGAGAGAAGTGCGGTGTGTGGAGCCTGAAGGCTGCCTACAGAATAGGAGCACAGACTCAAAACAGCCAATAGTTGTACAGAGACCGCTCATTGCAGGCAAGCCGGGCAGTGTCATCTCAGTGCTGAGACCCAGGCATCTGGCAGGAAGGGGTGCAAGTGTTGAGGCGTGGGGCATAGGGCAGGTATGGGGTCAGATAGTCAGGGGTCTCCACTGAGTACAGAACAAGAGGTTATGGCGCTTATGGAGAGTTTATGTTCAGCATCTAGCAAGGCCTCCCTGTCTTCATGGAACTCCAGGCACTGGCTCTCCCTCCAGGTCAGCAAGACTTTCTGGAACTTGTTGGCACAATCCACAAGGTCACGGTTGTTGGATGGAGCAGGGAAAGCATGTTGCTCTAATAGAGCTCTCGTGCCGAGCTCACTTGCCCCTGTCCTCAGGTGACTCTGGCAGGGTGTCTGAATGGCTGCCCCTGTGTGCTGGGAGAGTAGGGGCAGTAGACGATGCCTGACTGGGGCCAGCCCTGGAGGTTCCGGTTGGACAATCGGAGGTGGGGGTCTGGGTATATAGCCTCTGTGGACCCTCTGTTTCTGGACCGATTCCATGATACCTGGAGCATTACCATCTTCCCTTCTTCAGCAGAAGTTCCCTTGTGTGGTCTGACCTGTATCCCTCTTGCTGTGTTTGCAGATTGCATTCCCCCACCCCCACCACCCACTGTCAATTAGGGCCTCCCACCCTCTATTGCCAGGGAGTGTCTGCAGACCCCAATCGTTCCACATGGTGCCTCCCACGGGCCCTTACTGTGTGCAGACGGAGGGCACACGGTTTGCCCAGGCCGGTCTCTACTCACAGGCAGGCTTAGGATAGCAGGGCAGAGCAGTGAAGGGGCTTGTGCTCCCTGGCGGGTGCCTCCTGCCAGAAGCAGCCGCTCCCTGGGCTGGCTGGCTGCTCCCTCTCAAGTTAATCTCCGCATTGTCCCGGGGCTCACCCCGTGGGCAGAGCAGGAAGTCTTGGACTTCTTCCCCTCACTGCACCCCTCCCCTGGGAGGATGCTGAATAGGCCTTTTCCCCGAGCTTCTGGGGTGGAAGGAGGAGTCAAGGATTGGATGTAGGAGAAGGGCTCTCAAGTTCACCCACCAGGAAGCTTCAGGTCACAATGAGCCACACCAGAGCTGAAACACACAATGAGCTGAAACCCAGAAGCGTGGCAGATTAATGTCTTTCCTGTGCTCTGAGCGGGCGGGAGCACAGGAGTGTCACCGCGCGGCCTCTCAGGGCCTCCTCAGTCGAATTTAGCGACTTGCAAAGTTAGATCATAGAGGAGATATGTACGTGTGTATCTTAGCATAAACATGTTTGTATTTGTAGGCAAGCAGCTACACAGGTATGTTTTTAAAATTTATTTAAGAAGACTGATGTTTAACATAAAAGAGCTGCTCAGGGAGGTGGCTGAGGGAGCTGTGACCCCCTTTGTGGCCCCTCAGGATTAGGTGCTAGGACGAAGGGAAGGGTGGGCAGAGAGAAAAAGGTGCCACTTTAGCACCTGCTCCATTTTTGCTGTGTTGAAGATCGGGACTCAACAGTAGACTCTTTCTCCGATGTTGGTGAGGTGGTGGAAGGGGACAGGTAGGTGAACTGACAGAGGGCAGGACTCTAATCTTTTCTAAGAGGCAACCCTTTCTTCTAGGAAGTCTCCTGCCATTCCGCCCTCTTGGCTCAACCTGCTGCTCGGCCTCCCTTAGGCCTCCTGGGGCCTCCTTCCGATCACACTCCCTTCCCTGCACACAGTTTCAAGGCCTGGAGCCTTTCTCTCATCAGACCGGGAGCTTTCTGTCCGAAAATCCACAGTCTGAGGACTTCAGCTGGACAGGCATCACTGTGGGGCTCTCTCCCTTGGGGAGGGCATACTTTCATGTGACTGTGGGTTCATGAGTATGGGGGTTGTTGGGGAGGCAGACATGTTAAGTTCAGACTTCCCATACTTTCAAGAGAGTGGTAAGAGCAATGGTGTATGTATTAGTTGCTCAGTTGTGTATGTATTAGTTGCTCAGTTGTGTCTGACTTTTTGCGACCCTGTAGACTGTAGCCCGTCAGGCTCTTCTGTCCATGGAATTCTCCAGGCAGGAATATTGGAGTGGGTTGCCATTCCCTTCTCCAGGGGATCTTCCTGACCCAGGGTTCGAACCTCGGTCTCCTGGATTGCAGGCAGATTCTTTACCAATTGAGCTACAGGGAAGCAAGAGCAGTGGTAAATGTAAACAACGAGGCTCTGAAAGCACAGGGGAGAAGCATTCAGTTTTTAAAAAGAAATATTTTATTATTTGGCTGTTCCAGGTCCTAATTTTGGCCTGACAACTCTTAGCTGTGGCATGTGGACTCCCAGTTGCGGCATGTGGGATCTAGTTCCCCAACTAGGGATTGAACCCAGGCCCTTTGCATTGGGAGTGCAGAGTCTCAACCACTGGATCCCCAGGGAAGTCCCAGAAGCATTCATTTTTGCCAAGAGAATCAAGGGAGGCTTCCTGGAGGAGGTGATCCCTGAGATAAATCTTGAAGCCTGAGAAGGAGTCAATCAGGTGAAGGGGTTGTGACCCTGGAGTTGGGGCAAGGGGCTCAGGGAGGTAGGGTGCTCTAGGCGGTAAGAATACCAGAGTAGAGGCAGGGGAGCGAGGCACCATGCAGCATGTATGAGAACCCACAGTAGCTTGGCATCACGCCGGGTTAGGAACAGGGAGTGGTGGGAGGAAGGCTGGAGAGCAAGGCCCAGGCCAGGACTGGAGGGTGGGCTTGGCCCATCATCTGATCTGTGTGGGGCTTTGGCTTTGTGTTCCAAGACTTGGCAAGCTCAGAGCGAGGCTTGTCTGAGACAGCAGGTCTGAAAGAGACAGAGGGAACTCTGGGGCACCTGCCTTCAGGGGGTGGCCTTTAGGCCCAGGACAAGCTTTGGACTCCTGTCTGGGAACAGCCACTTCTGCATCTCACTGCCCTTCCATGTGGTTGTCAGGCTAAGCCCTGTGATGCTCCACCTCCTTCCCCAGTCTTGTTCACCAGGAGGAAATATTCTTTGCTGTCATTCCCTTGTCTTCTATCTCCCCCATAGTGATAGTCATTTCTTCAATATTTGTTGAGCATCTGCTTTATGCCAGAGACTGAATCGCTGTTCCTAAATCTCCTTAGATAACTCACACGATATCTCATGGTCACCTTATTTCTTATTACGATCACAGCCTCTGCTTTACGTCCAGCTGGACTCCCTGAAATTCTGTGCAGAAGAGAGCAAGAGCCATGCTTTTAAAAAATCATCATACTGAAAAATCAATTTAAATTTCCCTTTGACTTTCTCTACCCCAGGTTAAATGATTGCTTAATGTTTTTTCTTTCTCCTCTTTTTCTCTTTTGTTTCAAGCAATTTATTTACTAACTTCCCATTTTTGTTTTGAATTTCCCAGCAAGGACAAGATGTGATTTCTGCTATTTACAACTTCTGGTTTGAGGAGACACACCAGACAAACAAGATTCAGCACAAGTATGGTGGAGAGCTCCTATAATGCAGAGAAATTTTTCAAAATAAAAGATTCTTCAGGGCGAAACTCATGTTCGGTTTTTTTAAAATTAATTTTTATTGGAGTATATTTGCTTTGCATCCAGTTTTACTGCCCTGTGGATTGTCTCTGGAATGCTTTGTCGCTGCTGGCCCTTCAGTTTTCTCTTCCAGCAGGAGGTAGAAGTGAGCTGCTTAAAAGCAGAAGGT